ACATTGGCAGAGGGAGAAGCAGGCTCCTCACAGGGAGCCTCATGTGGGACTCGATCCCCAAACTGGGATCACATCCTGAGCCAAAGGCAGACGCTCAGCCGGTGAGCCACTGAGGTGTCCCAGTTCCTCAGGGACATTAGGTTAACATTAAGTCCTTACTTGGCTTTAGGAGGCAGGAAAGACCCCAAGGGTCAGTGCGGCTTCCTCTCTGGTTCTGTGTGGATCCACAGTGAGCGGCTCTGTCCACAGTCCCCAGTCTGTGTGCTCCTGCTGAGCTCAGAGGTCCATCCCTGGGGTGGCAGCCAAGGCGGTGACCTTGGGCCCCCAGGAAAGCCATCCCTTCGCCCCTGCACTCCTCTCTGTGATGCCCTCCCAGCAGCCTGCAGACCCACTATCCCACGAGGTCCCTCCCTGTAGCCTCAGATCTGGCCTGACAGCTTTTTCTTTGTTAGGGTCACAGCAGGTCAGTGGCCAGACCGCCCAGGACATCTGCAAGTGCCTGTCCCCCAGTTCTTCCTCCTGAGAGACTCCCCCTCCTTTGACCCCAGTTGGCACCAGCACCTCATCTCTGAATGTGGGTGGCGGGGACCTTCTCCAAACGGATCCAGGAAGTCGAAACTGCCTAAGTCAGATCAGTTCCCCAGTGACTTCCAGTATGAGGCTGGAGCTGGGCTTCCACCCTGAAACACTCCCCCTTGACGCTCATGGCCTGGGCATCCTCTGGCACACAGTGCAGCTGAGCAGAGGGTCAAACCTTGGGTTGCTTAGGCCCTCTTCCCTAGACCAGCCTTCTGCCCCACCTTGAAGCCCTCCCCATCCTTCTAGGGTTGGATTTTCAGGGTGAGGAGGGGCTTGGGCTGCCTCCTGGCCTCTGCTGTCCTACAGGATGTCTGACAATTGTAGTTATTTGTGACTGTTCCTTTAATCCTGGTCCCCCTTGCCCCCAGCACTGCAAACCCTAAGGGGACAGGAGATGGAATACACATGACCTCAAGCCTCCCTGGGGACCTGGTCTCAGCTCTGTGGTCCCCAACTCACCTCCCCTCCTTGTTGGCTCCAGTTCCCTGAGCTAGCACCTGGTGCTATCGCCTGGTTTCAGGGGACCCCGCGAGTCTCTACTGTCACCTCTCCTTGGAGCTGAGGCCTGGAAATACATGCAGGCCAGATGCCTTGTGGACATCTCATTCATTCATTCAACAGTATTTCTGGAGCCACCACCATGAGCCGAGGTGTCTGCCCTGGTGGGAATTATCTTCTGAAGGGGAGGTGGCCACCGCTGGAACTGAATGGAGGCAACAGGGCACTGAGGGAGTCACAGGTGGATCCAGACAGAGGCGGCCTTTCAAAGCAGGTGGCCTCTGAGTGGTGCCTGAAGCTGTGCAGTTAAGGCAGGAGGGCTCTGGGCAGGGCCCCCATGGGCAGGTGTCCACCCACTCTCTCCAAAACAGCAAATGGAAATGCTCAAAGCTGAATGTTATAGAATTCGCAGTCTACCCTGTCTCCCTCCTAGTTTCCCTAAATTAGGAAGGGCTCTTCCATCCAGCCAACTATACATGCTAAACGCCCAAAGGTCAACCTGGACATCCCTCTGCCCCCACCTCCGATCGCCGAGTCCTGTGGGTCATTCCGGCAATCTGGCAGTGTCCTCCACACTCCTGTTCTCACTGCACCTTCTCTCCTGAACCAGGTAGCAGCTCCTGCTGGCTCCCTCCTTCATTCTTGTGCTCTTCCAACCCAGTCTCCATATTAGGCCCAGTGACCTTTTAAAAATGCACATCTGGGGGCACCTGGATGTCAGGCAGGCAGCCTGCTCCCCCTTCTGCCTATGTCTCTGCCTCTTTCTCTCTCTCTCATGAATAAAATCTTAAAAAAAATTAAAATGCACACTTGTTCCTGTCACTCCCTTGCTTGAATGCAGCATTGGCTTTCCCTTTGTTCTTAGGATAAAATCTAAAATCCCAGTGCCTCCTTCACGGAAGACTGCCTGCCCTCCTCCCTCCCTGGGCTCTTGCCACACTGTCCTTTCAATTCCTTGAAAGCTGACCCTGGGTCCTTTCCATAGGCACTGACTCCCCCATACAGTGATCTCAATCTCGTCCTTGATCCTCCTCTCCAGCCTCCTGACTCTTCACACCAGATACTGTGTCCCATGACCTCACTGCCTTCTGCTATGCATGTGCTGACCTGAGCCTGCCTCTGTTCTAGGTAGGGCTCCACTGAGCAGGACCATCACTGTTCCATGCACACGCTGGGGCCACTGTAACTATTGTGCAAATCTGGCTGGTGACGGACAGATGAAGGAGAGTGTGCCCTGGAAATCCTGGATCACTCCTCTCCTCCACCATGATCCAGCTCTCTCAGCCCACAAACTCAAAGCTGGCAATTGGGCACAATCCCACGTCAGCCCCGAAGCTAGCTGAACCCCAGTGCCTTAGCCTCCTCCAGGTTCCCCACACTAGGTTGCAAAAAATGCCCTGAGTTACTATCATAAAAACCACTTTGCAGGGGCACCTGGGTGGCTCAGTGGTTGAGCATCTACCTTCGGCTCAGTGAGGGATCCCAGGGGGTCCTGGGATCAAGTCCAGCATCCGGCTCCCCACAGGGAGCCTGCTTCTGCATCTGCATCTGCATTCTGTCTCTGCCTCTGTGTTTCTCATGAATAAATAAAATCTTAAAAAAACAACAAACCACTTTGCAGAGGTGGAACCACTCTAGAACCCCCGATGTGTCCTAACAGGGAGGTTCTTACCTCTGATCACCTCTCAGAGGGGCCATATCATCTAGGACCTCCCACTCCTGCTGCATAGAGGGGTCCCAGTGTCTCATGGATTATGGGTAAGGGTCCATATGGAAGGCTGGCAGTGGTTGTTGAAACTTTTTACAAAATCAGGAGAACTTTTCCCCACATAAAACTCAAGTGAAGCCCAGCATAGAAGTGGGGGTGCCGGGCACCTTGGCCCCCTCCCTTCATCCTCCTCCAGATTCTCCCTGGAGCCTGGGGTCAACACCATCTCTTCACAAATATTATTAGAACTCCAACCTGGTCATCTGTCCATCCCACCATGTAAACTGTCTGGTAACCAGCGGCCAGGTTTGCAAAGCAAATCAACTCAGGATTTTTGAAAAACAAACAGCAAAAACCCCCATAACTGCATAATTTTGTCTTTTCTATAGTGCAACCAGGCATCACATATAGAAAGCTTTAGAATCTTGATAAGCCGGGAACCCTGGGTGGCACAGCGGTTTAGCGCCTGCCTTTGGCCCAGGGTGCGATCCTGGAGACCCGGGATGGAGTCCCACGTCGGGCTCCCAGTGCATGGAGCCTGCTTCTCCCTCTGCCTGTGTCTCTGCCTCTCTCTCTCTGTGTGACTATCATAAATAAATACAAATTTAAAAAAAATTTAAAAAAATCTTGATAAACCTTTGATAGAATATTCCGACTCTCAAGAATTACCCAAGAAAAGCCTTACATATAGAAGAGGTAGGAGCCTACAGAGGCGACTGGCAGCTCCAATTACCAGTGTGGGGAGAACGGGCGTCTTCCAGGCCCTCAGCAGTGAGCAAAAACCACAGCAGTGCTGCACAGAGCAGCCTCTAGGAGGATGAGAAAGCTGACTCCATAGCCCGGAACAGCTTTATGATGGTATCAGAAGTGAAGTGACAAAATGCTGGGTGCAGAAAGATTCCATTTTTGTAAAAATAAATAAAATCTATCTATCTACCTATCCATTTATCCAACACATACATAGAAGAAAATCAGAAGAGTAGGCCCGTACTTTATAAAGTTGCAGGACTGGGAGGGATCTTTCTTGCTCACTGGTATTTCTGGATTTCCTACATGAATGTATTTCCCTTTTAGAAGAAAGCAACAAGAGATGTTAGTAGAGTAATATGAATACACCTAGGGATGGAAGAGAATCCCTCACAACACCGCCCCCACCTGGTTTCCTGCTCACAGCACAGAGCCCGGGGAGTCCTGGGAACCCAGGGTGAGGGGACACGCTTGTGGCTTGTGACTGTGGGAGCCGAGGGCTCCTCCTGTGAGCATACCCTGCAGGCTGGTTATGGACTTGGGGCATCACAAGGACCCTGGAAGTCTGTGACCTCTGGGATCAGTTTTGAGGTCCCATCTGTGAGCAGCTTGGCCCTGCCATCCCAGAGGATCAGCTTCTAGTCTAAGAATGACTGGCCAAGTCTCTGTCCCCACCAAATGCCACCCTCCCATCCTCCCCTTGGTGCTCACATTTGTTGGGCTGCCCCTCTGCACCATGCTGTGCTTTTATCACCCCCTCAAGTCTGCTACCTCAGACTTCAACTCAGCCCATAGTAACAGACCCCCACCAAAGGGACTTGCAAATGCTGCTCATCATAGTCTTGCTCAGGGCAGCATGGACTCTCAAGCAGAGTTTGCACATGACACAGACAAGGGCCACCCCGTGGGCCCTGCCCCTGGGCTGGGCTCAGCGTGGGTACAGTACAGCATCTTCAAGTGCTTTCTCCAGGCCCACCCTACACCTGCCCTTCACTGGGCCTGAAGTGAGGCCTCCTCACCCAGGTTGGGCAGTGTCCTGCACACCAGGACTGGTGCTGAGCCTCACTGCCAGGAGGGCCAGTGGGGCCCCTGGGAGGAGGCTCAGGAGAAAAAGGTCTCTTGCCCCTGGGCTCTGGGGTGGGGCTGGGGATTGCTGGTTGGGACAGGCTTTCCACCTAAGCCCTTGCTCATATTGTGCCCCCAAACACCCTCCTTGGTTCTATGCTCAGCAGACTCCTGTCCCCTCCCACTCAGGCCTGCCCCAGGTAGTAGGTCTCCTGTTCAAATCCCTTCACCTCTTGGGGATGCGGTCATGCTGCACTTGCCACCTGCACAGGAAGCCCCAGGACCCCACTCTCAAACCTGTGTTGGAGAAATGAAGTCATTTCCATCTGCAGCCAGGACCTCTACCCACCTGCTGCCAGGGCCTGGGCCACCCAAGTGAATAAAGACATGACGGCCTGAGATGTATAGTTCAAAGGTTGGTATCTTTTTTGGTTTCCTTTTTTGTTTTTGTAAAGAAAAATAAGGTTGTGTTTTTTGTTTGAAACAAAACATGAGGAAGCCCCCCCTCCCCACTCCGCCTCTCCCCTGCCCCTGCGAGGTGCTGTAACCTCCGGGCTTGGGCAGGAGGGACCAAGCTGGCCCAGACTGAGACGGGAGGCTGGGCACTGTGTTGAGGCTTCCTCAGAGCCACAGAGGAAGGGTGTTCGGGAACGGAGTTTGGCTTTGTTAGGCAAAAAATAAAATTAAAAAACTTGACACACATGCCCGCTGTACAAATGGGGGCCAAGAAGCAGCACCTCCAAGTTGGAATCATCTCTGGCAGTTGGACACAGGGTCCTGGTGCAGCCCCTGGCTCCCCATGCCCCGTGTTCTGGGGGTGAGACAGGGCAGGAAACAGCTCTCAGGACAGGAGTGGGGGGAAGAGGAGAGAGGGGGAAGTCAGAGCAACTCCTTCCCCACATGGTAAAAAAAACTCTAAAAAAGCACCCAAGGCTTAAAAAAACGAAACCTCCCTGGCAGGGAGAACTGGGGGCATCCTGCTTACCAGCAAAATGCCTTACCTGGCAAAAATGTGTAGAAAAATAAAATTAAACTTTATCCCTGAATGATAAAGACCCTTCCTCCTGCCCTCATGACCACCACCCTCCACCAGCAAGTCTCAGAATTCCCCAAGACTGCCAATTCCTCCCCGAGTGGCACAGGATTGTGCAAGACTGTGGCTGCCCACCCGTGTCTGAGGCCCCGGGGCAGCGGGGACGGGGTCAGGGGGGCCTTTGATGGCCACATGCACACTCGTTCCTCACAGCAGTGGGGCAGGGGGAGTCCCTGTTGCCAGACCAAGGGCCCGTCCTTTCTCCTCTCAGGGGCAGGACGGGACCCCAGCAGAAAGGCAGGGGTTGGGGGGCAAATGTGCAGTAGCAGTCGGAAGGGCAGTGGCAGGGCTGGAGGGCAGTGGGGTGGGAAGGAAAGCCAGCTGAGTTGGCCTGAGACAGAGGTCACCCTGAGCCCACCGTGACAGCAGAATGAGACGGAGGGGAGGAGGTTCACGGCAGGGCAGGGGCAGGGTCCACTCCCATCTGAGACCTGCAGGCTGGCCCGGGCCTGTCCCGCAGGGCAATGCAGGCCAAGGGCTGGAGCCTCCCCTGTGGGCAGTGTGTGGAGGAGGGGCCCAGAAGCACAGGCCAGGAAATGGGGTAGGGGGCTCTGGGTAGTGTTCTCAGTGTCACAGGGCTGCTGCCTGGGAAGGGCACTGGAGGTAATAAAATGGGGGCACGAGAGGCCAGAAGGGTGGCTGGTGGGGGCGGGAGGGGAGGTGCTTACACTAGAACTCTGAGGGGCCCTGGGCTGGGGACCCCCGGTACCTGCCTGCCCACCAGGAGAGCCAGAAGGCAGGCTGGGCCTGGAGCTGACAGGACAGAGCAAGGCAGGGCCAGGTACTGCCTGTCCTCAAGGGGGCCTGCCCAAGGTCTGTTCTTCACGGGGCAGGACTGAGGATGAGGGACACGGGGATCACCCTCCATCCTCCCCCAGGGAACCTGAGGTGGCTGTAGTGGGATAGAAGTACAGTACGGAGATGTGGTCCTAGCCCGTGGCGCAGGGTCATGAGGCAGCCCAGCGCCTGCTGCAGGTACAGTAGTAGTGGCACGTCGGCCAGGTAGGCTGGGCAGTTGGGGGGGACTCCAGGGTCCTGTAGCCCCTCAGGGACCCCTGGCTTCGGGATCAGGGTCAGCACCAAACACAAGAGATGTCAGCCAAGGAGACGGGCAGGGAGGAGAGTGACCTCACGGACCAGGCTCAGCCCTGCGGTCTGTTAGGTGAGGAGGAGGGATCCCGAGCACAGGACGGGCCCAGTGAGGTCAAAGGCCCTGGAGAGGACGGTGGAGACAGCCCTGCAGGGAGGGCTCTGAGGCCGGCAGTGGTGGAAGCAGCATGCACCTGGGTGCCTCGGAGACCCTCTGGGCGCTGGGAGGCTGCGGACCACAGGTCAGCGCAGAATCTGGTACAGGTAGGCGGAGGTGAAGAACACATTGGCAGCTAAGCTCACGGCCAGGAGGCCCCGGACCAGGGAGGGCCTGAAACGACCTTCGGGAGAGAGCAGAGAGATACAGTCAAAGGGGCAAAGGTCAGAAGAGGGACCTGTGCGTGGTAGGGTTGCTGTGCAGCAGATCACCAGCCCAGCCCCCCAGAGATGCTGCTGTGGGGCCCTGCGGCCCTGCTCCCAGGGCTCTCCTGGTACCCAGAGAGACCCCTAAACCTGGGGTCACCTGGTCAAGTCCTGCCTCCCCCAAAGGCACCTCATTTCCTGAGCTCATGCTACCCGGCAGCTACTGGGCCAGGGTGTGTCCCGTACTTGTATCCTGGTGAGAGGGCCAGGAGTGTGTCCCCCACTTTACAGACAGGAAACGGGGGCTTTAGGGCAGTGAGTAGTACCGTGCCCAGGCTTCAGACTGGGGCTCCCCGCTCCAGGTCTGTGTTCTGGGTCTCACTGCTGCTGGGTCGCACCCCAGACTGGCTGGATTTGGGGGCAGCACCTATTTCCAGTCAGTTCAAAGGTTTCTTTGCTAAAAGACTTGTCGTGTACACGTCAATCCATCTTCCCCACATACATGTCCCTTGAGCCCTCCTAGGGAAAACACGGGGCGCTGGCTCTTGCGTGCCAGGCACTTTACAGAACCAGGATCTAGTCTCATACCCGGCCCTGCAGCCCGCAAGCAGAGGAGCCGGGATTGGAACCCAGCAGGTCCGTGCCCCGCGGTGCACCAGGCTCTCCAGGCCCGCATCTTCCCAGGGCCGTGCAGGAAGAGAAGCCACCGCCCAACATGGCAGCAGCAACCTCAAGATGTGGCTGGCACGGCAAAGAAACTACATTTTTTACTGGCATTAAATGCTCATTCTGTTAAATTTAAATAGCTCCCTGTGGTCAGAGATGCTGTTCTGATGCAGATCCAGACCCTGATCTGAGGGTGGGGCATGCCATCTGCCAAGTCGTGGTCGGACCCAGAAGGTGCTGGGTCCCCCATCACTCGAGGGCCCAGGACAGCTTGCTCTCTCAGGATTCCACACAGACCAGGAGGTGATGGGGGCTGCAGTACAGACCTCTCCAGGCAGTGGCCTCCTCCACGCACCCTTGGGTGGTTGTGTCCACCACACAGGTGGATGACTGGGATGAGTCATCCTCTTTCTTGATGGAGCGGCTGCTGCAGGCACTGCCTCTTTCTGGCACTGACCTCATGTCTGCAGAGAGAGAAGGGGTGTCTCAGAGGGTGCCCACAGCTCACCCCCAGGGACAGACATGGGCAGCTCTACCTCCAATCCCAGGACTGTCCTTGGATGTGGCCAGCCAGCCCTGGCCATCCCAGCCCACTCGCCCTACTCTGGGCAATGGAAGGCCAGGTCCTCGTTCATATCCCGGCTGTGTAGCTGCCACGAAGGGAGCTGGTTTTAGATCAGGAGCAGCAAACTGCACGGCCAACAGGTGCTGACAGATGATGGCCACAAGTGAGGCTTCCAGACGTGGGGCAGGGGGTGACCGAGGCGGGGACGTGGGATCTCAACTTGCCCTTCCACCTGTCTGGCCAGTATTCAGAGCCACTGTGGCCAGATCTTCGGACATTGTAAGAGACACAGGAGATCCACACATTCATGTGAAAGTCCTAAATTTTAAAGGTTGATGTTAAAAATTTAAGAATTAAAAAATACTTGACAGGACAATCACCATTTGAGCAAAACAAAAATATCTGTGACCAGACAGATGCAGGCTAGCAGGGTATAATGCATTTTTGATCCATCCCAAGGAACAAAGGACCCTCCAGGTCAATTGCAAGAGAAGAAAATAAAACCAGCCAACGGAGGGCAAGGTCTTGGATGGTCCAAGGTCCCCAAAAGCCAGGCCAGGAGTGTCTGGAGCTTGGGAGGGTGGCTGCACATGCTTGGATAAGAGCAAGGACAGGCCCTGCGTGGCCTCTTGCCTGCACGTGACCAGAGACACCGTCACAGCTCAGCTGGGCTCTCTTGTATCCCAGGAGGGCGATCAGAGGGTCGTACCCACAGTGAGCTTCGTGTCCTGCGCCGGCGATCTCTGTGGGACCTGGGGCGGCTCGAGGGGAAAGAGGCTGCCGTTGTGGGGCGAGTGTTCGTCTGAGCTGCTGGGTGTGTTGGGCACCTCCCCGGGGGGTGACGGAAACAGCAGCAGCTTCTGCCCCTTCAGGTTGAGCCGGGCCGGGCTGATGAGCGGCCTGCGGTGGCGCAGAGAGCCGGAGCTGGAGGCCACGGAGCCGGCCACGGAAGGTGCTGGGGAAGGGAGTGGGGAGGAGGGGCAGTATCCCGACAGCAGAGAGAAGTAATCTGGAAGGCAGGAGGACAGAAACGGCGACTTCTGGTAAGAACGGTAACAAGGATGAGTGCTGCCTACTGTCACAGCTACGCTTGCTACAGCAGCTGTGCTCCTGCCACTTTTCCTCTAGAAACCCAAGAAGAAAGGCAAGGCCGGCCCAAGGTGGGGGACAGAGGGAAGCCTGCCAGAAGCTGAGAGAGGCCAGAGGATCACAGAGCCTTAGCCCCGTCCCCTTCTGTCTGCCAAGGGCACTGAATTAAGCTCCACTAGACCGAGCCCTGCTGATGGCGGGATCCTCAGTGCGTGTATCCATCCATCATCACTGAGAAGGGGATGGCATTATACCTAATCCTGGAAACTATCACGCCCATTTCACAGAAGAGCAAACTGAGGCACAGGGGTGAGTCACTTGCTCAGGGCTGCACAGCTGGGAGGCATGGGGCTGAGGCTTGAACAAAGGCCCTCGTCAGATCCTAAGGCTCATGGTTAATCTCGCTGCTGGTCCCCCGCTCCCTCCAACTGCATGCTCGGGAAACTTGGGCCCACACTGTCCCCAGCGAAAGCAGCCACCCCGTTCTCCTTACCTGAAACAGGAACCTCTCCAGAGCGAGACACCTGAGATGGCGGACGGCTCCCGCTGAACAGATACCCCGAGTCTGAAGAGGAAAGAGGAGGGTGAGACATATCAGGCCCATGGTGACGACAGCTGCCCACCCTCTCCATTGTCCAGTCCCTGCCCTGCTGACATTTAACCTTTGTCACTCACGTCAGGCCTTCACGGAAACACAGGCTCTCAACTGACTCCCTGAACTACTGTCTGAGATATGCTTGGCCTATGCTTAGTTCACGGAGAAAGAAACAGACACCAACCCTCTCCCCACCACCTGCACCTGCTGGCCTGTACTACACCTCAGGGAGGACTGAACTTGCTGCTTTTCCTCAGTGAAGCACACCCCGAGGGCAGAGACACCACCCCAAGGGTCCTATGTTTCCCCAACACTCAGGTGGGAGCTGAATGTGGAGAGATTCAGCAACCACCATGTGCTGTCATGAGCGGCTGCTCCTCCACTGCCCGTGGGGCTATGAGGGTCCCTTGGTCACAGCGCACCTCCTGCCCCTTCCCTCACAAGGCCCAGCAACAAAGACCCGGCCAACCCATGTGTCTGGGTAAGGGTGGGCATGTGGCCCAAGCACAGAGTCCTTTCCAGAGCCCGCTCTATGGATGCTAGGAGAGCAGTCTCTTTGTTGGGCATGAGCTATAGGGATGCAGGGATGAGGACAGCAGCAGGAAGGAACAGAGGCAAGGAGGGTGAGAAAGAGAGAAACAGGAAATGGGAACCTGGCCTGGTGCCTGAGCCCCAGACTACCAGCTCCTTTTGGTTACCTAAGCCAAGGAACTGCAAAAACTCATCCTCGATGCCCCTGGCAGTGGAGACCCTGGGATCCCACCTGTCACCAGACATTTTGAGACCAGCCTATGCCCCACCACCCCAACCTCCAGCCTCACAGGGCAACAGGGAGGCTGCGGGTCCTCCACGATGGGTGTGAGGCCCTGCCTCAATGGCCTGCACTAGCTCTAGAATGCTACCCTCCCCTCCTGAGGGGCTTGAAATAGAAGCTCCCCAGCTCGGGCCACCCGGGGTTAGCATGCACAGAGAGCCATCCAGGAGAGTCAGGCCCAGGGCAGGGCTGCTCCTGGCTGGGCAGGTGCTGGGCTCCTGGTGCCCTCAACAGGCAGCCCACTCTCTCCCCAAGTTTTCCTCAAGACCCACAGGGAACAGAGAGGGATATCTCTGCTAAGAGGGTAAAGGAAAATTATCCTACTGTCAACTCGGGGTATAAGCAAAATGGCCTTTAGTCACCTTGGAGGAGCTAGGCCTCCAATTGCTGCTGTTATCAGCATTCCTATCCCATTATAATAACTTTAGTCATGTTTGCTAAAGGCCCTGTTCTAGAAGCTTCTCTGATATCATGCCCACCTCAGCCCTGAGGCACAACCTCTGGTTCTAGATCCTCCCAGGGTCTTGGGCTGGGGGCCTGCTTGGCCTGGGGCTCAGTTTTTCAACCCTGCATTTGCCCTGGCTCTCCCCAACACGGCCTTCAGAAGGCTCTGGCAGGACTTGAAATGAGCTGTCCCTACCTCGGGCCCAACCAGCCCCACCGCTACCTGGAAGCTGGATGGACACAGCTCTAAGAATACTCTAGGGGGAGGGCCCCAGTCCCTAGGCCTCCCAGGTTCCCACACTCAGGGAATTTCAGGGTCTCCCCTCACCTGCCAAGGGCTGCTCACAAAGAGTCCAAAGAGGCCTCATCAACTCTGCTGAATGACCATTCCCGGAGGAGGGTGCTGGTTACACTGCTGGTTACACAGAACCATCTGGCATCCAGGTGTCTGTACTTGGGGCAGTCACACCTTCTATCCTACTCTGAAGGCCTTGAACCCTACCCACTGTGTGACCTGCCCTCTTGTGGTGTGACCCACCCTCTACCCAGGAGGACACGGGCCTGCACACACCAGGGCTGCAGGATGCCTGAGCTCAGGAGCCAGATGACTGGGTACAAAGCCCAGCTCCAAGCTTGGGGGGCGGGGAGGGGATGTGACTGAAGTTCAGAGGGCATGTGACTGGAGCTGGAGTCCCCAAACAGGTAGAGCTGCTGAGGGGCTGAAACGGGAATCCGGGACTCTGACTGCAGGTTTCCAAGCCCAGATTAACCAAGACACCGTCCACATTCTTGGAGGCTGGGATCCTGCCTCATGATGTCCTGCTCCCAAACCTGCGCCTCCCAGGAGCCAGTCCCTAGGACACATCCCAAGGAGGATGCAGCCTAGTCCGCCCAGGTGGCTTCCCCAAGCGCTGAGGGCCATCACAGAGTGCTCGCCATGCTCTGAAGAGGAAAAACTGGATTTAATTTATAACTGACCTCCCAGGAAGATTCTGCTGGAGAAGGGGAAGGATAAAACAAAGTCTCTTGTGCCAGGGCCCATGTGCAGCAAGCGGTCAAGAAGTGGGGCAAATTTTCCAGCCCCCAAGGCCTCAAAACAATGGCAATAATAATGACAGCAAGAGGGGTGGTAAAAGAGGATGCCCAATGTGCGTGGATGTCTCAGTGCCCACAAGGTGCCAGCTGCCCTTCTAGAAGATGCTTTGAAGGTATCATCACCTCATTTGACACAAACACCCACAGGCAGGTTCTGCTACTAGCCTCATTTTCTTTCCTTTTTTTTTCTTAAGATTTATTTATTTGAGAGAGAGACAGAGAGAGATCGAGCACAAGCAGGGGAATTGACAGAGGGAGAGGGAGAAGCAGACTCTTCATTGAGCAGGAAGCCTGATGCAGGGCTCGAACCCAGGACTCTGAGATCATGACTTAAGCTGAAGTCAGATGCCCAACCAGATGAGTCCCTCAGGGGCCCCCTAGCCTCATTGTCTTTGAGGGAAACAGGCTCAGAGTGATAAAGCCCCCTGGCTCAAGGCAGCTAGCTACTGAGCGGACTCGCCAGGATTTGAGGCCAGTTCCGCACATCTCTACAGCAGGAGCTCTAACCACCCTCTCACCCACATCCCACCCCACACTCAGTCAGCGTCTCCCTGCCCAGCCCAGCTCACCCTGCCTGGGCTGAGCACCTCCTACCTGCTCGAGTCAGAGAGGGGATGGTTCCCAGTGAGAGTGCCCGGCTGAGGCGGCCTGGCAGCGAGGAGGGCGAGGCCCGTCGAGGAGACCGGAACAGCTGCTGGCTGGCAAGTGGCAGGAAGCCAGGCGGGCTGGGGATGAACAGAGATGCTGCAGGGCCCGCGCCTGGGCATGGCACGGCTAGGTTGGGGCTCGTGGGGAAGAGGCCGGCCGAGTCTCTCGGGAAACACCTGCAAGAGCCCGTCGGGCACGGGAGACAAGAGGAGGGTCAGCCCCGGGAGGCCCTGGAGGTGGCCTCCACACAGGTCCCGTCCCCTCTCCCCTGGTGCCAGGTGGGGCCGGAGTCGGGGTCCCAGGGAGGCGTGCGTTAGTTGAAGCAGAAAAGCAGTCCAACCGCATTCACGCCATTAGGAGCGGGTGGCTGGGAGGTGCCAGCGTGACCCACCCCTCCCTGCATGCCCCCTCCGATCCCCCTCAGCTTTCACAGCAAACTAGTTCCACTACTGGTCTCGGTATTAAAGTGACACTGTCGCCCTTGCCAACCTCATGCCAACCCTTTGCCTTGAAGTAAAAATGTTCAACCCTGTGCCAGGTGCTCAACGAAGGCCTTGCCACTCTGTGCTCCATGCCCAGAGCCTCTGGACAGGGCGGCTGTGCTCGGGGAGCCCCCTGCTCCACAGGGCCGGGCTCCAGGAATCCCGTTGCTGCTCCCTGGTCTCGGACACTCCTCTAAAGCCCCTTGCAGAGCTGAGGGGGAGGTGGCCAGGCGTTGGACTTCCCGGGGAAGAGGCTCTTGCGGGACACAAGCCTAACAACTCAAGCTTGGAAAAGACCAGTAAACCATTGCAAGGTCTGCCCCAAAGACTGAAGGTGACAGTGTCTCTTTAACTCGAGAATGGGACAAATCACACAATAGGACCTGGTGGCCCCAAGCCAGATTGTCAACCATGCTTCTGATTAAGGCAACCGATTACAGAAGAAGGGAAGGGGCAGAGGCAGTTAATACATTAGTCCGCCGTCTGGACGGAGCTGGGGGAGGTCCAGCCTTACCTCAGTCCCAAGGGACAATTGGGGCCATGGACAATGTGCCGACGGAGGGGCAGGCTGGCTCAGGCCCTGCAGCAGAGCCGGGGGCCTGCTAAGGGACCCACCCCACACCCACCGTGAACAAATACTCAGGGCACTGCTAGCTAAACTACACTCCGCTGACTGCCCTATTTTCACTCCTATCCCTCCTTTTAAACAAGTTCTATAAGGCGAGTGTAATGTCCACCGCTGCCCTCCTAGAGGGCCTTCCAAAGTGCCAGGAGGCTACCTGGATGTCAGAACCAAAGGCGGGGCCTTGGGTTTTGGGGGCATGGGGAAATCGTGGCAGGAACTCCTCAAACCAATCGCCAGGAGGTGGGTCTGGCCAACTCCAGGCTGGACGAGGCCGCACTCCATGTGCCAACTTGTTCTGCCCAAGCCTGACACCCACCTCCTTGCCCCCCAGACACCTGAGGAAGGTTCTGTCTCCATACAGGTCGATTTTCTGTCTCCACACAGGTTGTCACTGTAGAACTGGGTGTGATACCATCTGGCAGGATGGTGCTACTACTGTGGGGAAAGGTGAGGTGGGGGGCCACCGAACTCACAGCAGGGGCAGGGGACATGCACTGGGACCTTTGGCCAGTTGGCTCTGATCACGTGTGAAGGAAGCTCTGTCCCCTGCTGGGCCTGAATCTCCTAGAGGACCCACTGGGGGCAGGGCACGCTTGGGCCTGTCCAGCAGATGGCAGCAGGATTCTGAGCAGGCTTTCTGTGCCCACCCCTGCCGCAGAGCCCAAGGCCCACCCCCAGTAACCAGCAAGTGAGGGGAGAGGCTCCATGCCAGGCTGCGCAGCTCAGAGGTGGTCAGCTGTGCCCAGAAGCAGCTTCCAGGGTCTTTCCAGCTCTTCCCTTTTTCCCAGATCCTGCCCACACTTGGGGCCACCCTAGTGCTTAAAACTTGAGTCTCTCAGCCATCTGGCACAGAGCTGTTCCCAATCTGATTCCCTAAGAACACTGGCACTGAGGAGACAGCTCTTTGGTCTGACCCCTCTTGCTGTGACATGCAGTGACATCAGTCAACTAGCAGATACTTGTAAAGGGCCAAGCGAGCTCTCATCATGGCTCTGCAGCAGACGGTCCCTGGGAACCTCTGCCAGGCTCCAGAGAGCTCCAAAGTATCTATACTTCCTTTGGCAAGGGTTCCCCCCAGACCACCCTGCACCCTCAAACACCATCTCAGAGAAGCACTCAGCCCATAACCCAAGTCTGTACATCCACTGGGATAAACAGGTTCTGGGATGGGTCAGGCGGTTGTACTGTATCCCAGCTGACACTAAGGGGGCTGTCCAGTCTTTTCGACCCAATCCCAGTCCCAGACAGGAACGGAAGGAGAGAAAGGACTACATTTTAAGCAGCAGTTTATTGAGACGGGGGAAAATATGACCCAGCAGGACATGTGAGGGCAGCTGGGCCCCAAGCAGTTGGCGGCCATGTTGCCAGCACCCAGACCTGACTCCTGTGGGCATGCCTGTACCCCAAAATCCCCTTACCCTGCCACAGAAGCCTCTGAAGGAACGTGAAAGAACAAACAAAAAAGACATGGTACCTGATGCCCACCGGTAAAAGCAGAGCCCCGGAGGCATTTATTGAAAATACAGCACGAAAAACACAACATCTATGGCCAAGAGTTATGGTTACAGCAGAGAGAGTCACCGGCCGATCCTCCGCAGTTCTACTACACAACCAGAGAGGTTGGGACACTTGGCCATGGTCACGGACAGAAGGGACACAGGCTCCTCCCGGGGCGGGTGCGTCCAGGTGGCTGCTCAGCCCATGATGGGGACCCCAAATTCGGAGAGAGAAGACAGCCTCCCTCATGTCTTGGAGATGGTCACCCCGACCCCAGGTGATCTGACAGTTGTCCCCAGTGGAGGGGACAGAGGTCCCCAGTAGGGCAACACGTTTCCAGTTAATAAGCCACGGTCCCAGTGGTGCCAGCACTTCCTCAGCGGTTGCCAGTAAACATCAGAAGGTGCTAGAATATGCTCCAAATAACGAACTTTAAAGGACAGACAGGTCATTTTAAAAAGTCACACACAACTCTAAAAAGCCCAGGAAGCCTTGCTCCGATGAGGCTCATCTCATGAGGGTGTCTTTCCCTCCCCACTAGAGGGCAGGAAAGACATCTGCTCAGCAGGGGCTCCTGGCCAGCAAGAGAACTGGTTACGGTTATTATAAATAATTTAACTTAAATACACACATACACACAGATGTCCTGCTTCTACACAACGCCAAGAAACGCAGTAATTAGCATCACACTGTCAAGTTTCCTTGAGAATGGGAGATTCCGTATACAAGGGCATGCACAGCTAACAGACCACTGGCTCTCAGCCTGGTACCTGCGGCCGCCCCTCCCCTTGGGCGGGCTGCCTGGGGGTGACGAGCTAGAAGGGGGGCCATCTCCTCCCCAACCTCGGCCAGGCCAGCAGGGCCTGCTCCCGGTTCAGCATGCTCCCTGCTCGTCAGTCACCTTGTACCTCACCCTCCACAGAGAACAAGTAGAGCCCAGCCAGGAGGGGCCTTGACTGAGGCCACACAATTGAGGCTACACTGGTACAGGGGCAGCTCTGGACCCACCCAGGGGCCAGGGTGGGGCACAGGCTGCTGCACAATATGGTGAGTGGTGCGGGGTGGCTTCTTAGGACCCCATCAACGTAAGGACCTGTGACGGTGGGGCCCAGGCTCCACGAAGGGCCTGCCCAGGGTGCTCTCCCTCAGGCTCTGGCAGCTGCTGTGACCCTCACGTGCATGGTATCTGCTTTGCCTTCTCCCGCTTCAACGTGTAAAGTGGAGTGGTTGGGACCCTTGGGATCGCATCTGGAGGGGGACTCATGCTCAGAGTGATGAGTGGCAGGGCATACTGGCCCCAGAGGGAGTCATCAGGGTGCACAATGCAGGAAGAAACAGCCTGGGGCTGCTCTCCCACTGGGCTGGCACTTCTGTTTCCACAGGGTGTCCACACCAAGGTGAGCACTCAGAGGTCCTGGAGAAAGGTCGACCTCTCATTTCACAGATGGTAAACTGAGGCTGGAAAGAGCACGGGCCTGGCTAGGATCAGCTAGTGAGAGGCAGGTGTGCCTCTCCCCGGAGCGGTGACTCTGTCCCTCCCCTCCCACCTGACCCACAGAAGCAAAAGCTACCCCACAGAGAACTGGAAAGCAGGAAGCCTCGGCAGCCTCCATCAGGGGCTCCAGGAGCCAGGAGGGTAGTGGTGACAAATGAGGGCAAGGTGACAAATGAGCTGGTGTCCTGGGTGTCGCTCTTGGGCCCTCGCCTTGTGCTATCCACACGCAGTGAGAACTTTCCCCAGGCATCATATGGGGGCTAAGTGGAGGAACTCCCAGGCATGGGAGTAAGGGCACAGGCCAAGAGTACTCGGGCCTCTACTGCCAGCCTTTGCTGGCGACGCCTGCACCCTAGCCCCTGCAGGGGTGAGCAGAGGGCTCAGCCAATACGATAGGGCCCTGCCCTTTTAGGGCAGAGCCAGGCACGTCTCAGAACAGGGAGCAGCTTGAGGGTGCCCTAGTTCTGTCCTAGCCCACAGCAGTGCCCGAAAAATAGACGGATAAAGTAAAGACTGCTCAGATCCCCCAACGACCTGGCTGCTAAGAAGACACTTGCTGGCCACAGAAACAGGATTCTCTACTGTCCACCTCAAGAGTCTCACGCCACACTCATGGTCAGGCCCAGTCTGGACCCAAGAATTGCATTCTCCATTCCTGGGAAAGGAGGCTGGGGGACAGTGGGTCTCGGGAAGCTCTTAGGGGCAGCCCTGTGTCCTGCTGGTTCCCTGCTCTGTGAGGGTTGGCTGGACTACGGTCAGGACTAAAAGGATAGAGCAGAGAAGTGATGTGAGGACAAGGTGGGGGGGCTCTGTTCTGGCCCCTGCTCAGCCGCACCTGCCCATGCCAAGCAGCCTGAGTAGGCCATGCGCCAAGGGCTCAGCCTGCAGTCACTGTCACCAGCCCCTGAGCCCGAAGCTCGGGGATGGAGCAAAGTGAGAGGAGAGGCAGACAGCAGAGACCTGACCCTCACCCCCAAGTGTGAGAACCAGGAAAAGGGCGTGGCCAGGGTGGGGGCTCTAGGAGCTGCCCACTGGAGACCCTGGGTCAGAGGCAGGCTGTGTGAGTGCCGCCTGTGATCCAGTCTCAAGGCAGCAACAGGGTCTTTGGCCAGAAAAATGGCGGCAGTGGTGGGCAGCTAGAGGACACTTGGAGGGTGGCTTGGTGGTGCCGGAAAGGGCAGGGAGCTCTAGGCTGGGCAAGGGCAGGAGTGAGGCAGGTTAAGACGCAAGTCAGAGGGGCCCTGCTCTGGGCCTGTCCGTCCGTCTGTCCTCCCCCCACAGTCACTGCTGCTTCTCTGACCTTCGGGGCCGGAACCTCCTTGGGCCTGTCGCCTTCCTTGTGGCCACAGCTGCCGTGAAGCCCACCAGGCAGCACAGGGACGTGGTGCTGAACTTGAGTGTGTCCAGCCAGCTGGGGGAGGCAGCCTGCAGGTACTGCTCAGTCAGGTGCAGCCCCAGCAGCAGGGCCCATAGGCAGGTGGAGAAGGCGTCAATCCGCCGGAGCCTGTGGGACAGAGCACAGGTGGTGGTGAGGGCCCATGGCGTCAGGGTAAGAACCCACCCCCTCCTGCCACTTCCTCCTATGTCTGTCCCTGGCCCCGCTCAGAGGTCAGAGTCCAGGGTCGAGGAAAGTGTGGGCCTTTGACTCCCACTCCCAACATCCACATGCTATGTGACTCTGAATGGGCCTCAGGAGTCCGGCCTATAAACCTGGGTGAAGGACCCTCCCCTCAGAGCTGCTGAGGTGATGTGGACAGCATCCAGCACAGGGTCTCCAAAGTGCACGGCGGGGGAGCCCACTGGTCATCCAACAACCAGAGAGGTAGGAGGTCATCACCACCCCAACTCTGCAGATGAGGAGTCAGATGGGGGGAGAGGCATGCCCCATTTGGCCTAAGTACATAGGAGAAGGTGGCTGGCCAGCTCTGAGTGCCACCACTCCCTCAGGCAGGCCCTTGCTTTCCTCTTGCCCCCCAGGCTCCCAGCCACTGGAGAAGAGGAACCACGTCGTGCTCCAGCTACATCATGGAGCTTTACCCACTACTGCACGCCCAGCACAGTCTCTTAGCTTCAACTCCTTCCACCAAGTCCTGCCCTGCCTGGATCCCCACGCACCTGAGGCGGCCAGCCAGAAGCATGGCCAGCAGGCAGGTGAGCAGGCCCAATGCCACGACGCCCATCTGGTGGCTCTGCCCGAAGGCCCAGGCCTCGCGTAGCTTCTCTGCCGCGTGCTCGGGCAGCAAGCCCAGCAGCTGCTGCCAGCCCTCAGCCCCAGGGCCAGTGCTGTTGTCAGGTGTGGCTGAGCCATTACCACCGGGCGGCAGGGCTGGGGGCAGAGTGGCCTCAGGGGCAAAAGGGTTGCTGGTGCCATAGAGCGCAACGGTCATCAGGAAGGTGCAGGCCAGGAAGGCGAGGGCACGCAGCATGATGACCTGGACTGGGGCCTTTACCGCAGATGAGAAGCTCTGCAGGAGAGAGAAACTGGTGAGCAAGGTGGCCAGAGCCACTGACAATCATTCTTGGTGCGCACTCTGCAGAGGTCTGGCAAGGGCCCCAGAGCGCGTGCAGAACAATCTACCTGGTTTCAGGGGTGCCTGGGTGGCTCAGTCCATTAAGTGTCTGACTCCTGATCTCAGCTCAGGTTTTGAGCTCAGGGTCCTGAGCTCAAGCCCCACTTAAAATTAAAAAAAAAAAAAAATAAAAAAAAAAATTCCCATCTGGTTCCTAATGGTCAGAGATGGAGTCTTACTCGGTCTTAAATTCTCATGTACTCCCAGCTTTGTTTCTAGGTTTACTGCTGTGTTCCACTGATCTGTATCCTTTCTTGGCCTTCACCTACTGTGAAAGTCACTACGCTGGGTAGGCTACAGTTCTGCTCTGTTCTTTAGAAAAACCCTTATGGTATTATGGTGACCTGTTTTTCCTATTAAGTTTTTCAATCATTTTGTGAAGTTCTCAAAGTTTCTACTATGAATTGGCATTATAATAAACACAGAGATAACTCAGGTCAAAAAGAAGTTAAACACAGCAATAAGTTGTTTGGTCTAGGAACATGGTGGTGAGGAGGAAAGCCAAAGGTCAGCACTTCTGGCTTCCTGCTGTGCAGAAGTGGGTGTGCAGGCCAGGGCTGTGGTCTTGTGGTCAGGGGCCTGGGTGCAGACTGGAAACCACACACCAACTGGACAGAGAACACATCTGGGCACCCCACAGGACAGGCAGGAATGCCTCTGGGGTGGATGGTTTTACTGCTAATTCCACTTACTATTATATCAGAGTTTTTAAACCAGGACATTCCATCCACTTAGCACAGTGATAGTAACTAAAAATAATTTTAGCCAGATAGTCCTGTGTTCAAATCCTGGTGTGTGTCCCTCAGCCAGCTATGGAACCCCCAAGTTTGACTTCCAGCTGTGCATGGGAGTCACAGAGCCAAAGGGTGTACCTGCCATGTAGGGTGCTGTGGGGAATGCATGCCAGTATTGGGGAAGTGCCCAGGTCCAGCAGGGCTCTCATAGACCTCCCCCTCCCACTCAAGAGCACAAATACAGGTGTATTATGAGACTCTTGGGACACCTACTAAGGCTGATGACCCCAAGGGGCCTGGGGACAGGGTGGGAATGGGGCCCCCCAGAGAAGGCTACTCCCCCTGGGGAAAGGATCCCAGCTTGGCAGAACTGCCCTCCACCCACAGGGGCTCCGCCCTCTATCTCAGACTTAAGGCTGTAACTCCCTGAATGCCCTGCGGGGTGCCTCGCTCCAACCTGCGTGCGGGTCTGGTCAGCCTCCCGGCGCCTGAACTGCTGGCTGAGCAGCAGAGCGCGCAGCTGTCGGTTCTGGTGCTTGAGGTAGTGCTCGACGGCCGCCTGGCATGGCCGGCACAGCTTGTACATCTGCTCCAGGTGATGCCGGTATACCTCGATCTCCTCGTCATACCTGCCCTGCACGGGAGTGGGGGCGACAGAGGCTCAGGGTCCTTGGCAACCGGGGCTGCCCCTGGCGAGCAGGTCAGATCTGAGTTCTCTGGCAAGTGGGGTGACCACGAGCAAGGTGTCCCTGCTTGGATTAATGCCCTGCTGCCTGTGGTGATGTGGGCTACTGAGGGTAGGGCTGGCTAGCACATGGTAGGGGCCCATGGGTGACAGGAACCTCTCTGCCAGGTTCTGCTGCCACATAGGATGCACCTGGAGGCCAGGAGCTCAGGACACAGCCCCTGCTTCAGGCTTCACTCCTGGGCTCCAAGGCTCCAGGAAGGCACGTGAGTCACAGGAGAAAGAGCTCTAGCCTCACGATACTTAGATGTAGACAGAACAGCCCAGAGACAGGGCCTACCCCTTTCCTCAAGACCAAGGGTCCAGAAAACACTACAGACAAAGGCTTTACAGGGAGCTGAAGGGTCCTTTGGGCTTTAGAATAGCTCAAAAGATTCGAGTCTCATCTCTCCTCCCTCCAGGGAGGGAGCAATACATTTCTCCTTCCTCATTGCTGGAGGAGCCAAACATTTCAATCTGCGGCAGCCACGAGTGTTCAGTTTGATCTCTTCCTGGGCCGAATATGCCAGCACAGCTGCTCTGGTTGCCAAACTGCACATGTCTTCCCTTCTTTATGCAAGTCTCCCTTGCCCAGCCAGGACTCCCACGATATTCCTCCCTGCCCACAGGACTGTGGGAAAGCCAGAGTCTCTGGGCTCCAGGTGGACTCTTCTCCTGTTGCTTGGGGAACCCCCAGACTTAGGTGAGGCCTGGCAGGGGGCAGGCAGGCAGGATGTACTAGCTAACCAGGCTGCTGGGCTCCAAGGCAGGAGCAAGCTCCTAATACCAGGCTCCTTTTCCAGAAGTTGGGAGTGTCTTCTGACAACTCCAGAGCAACTGCCTGCCCAGCCAGTGGACAAGACTGACTTGGACATAGACAAGATGGGTCCAGGAGAGCCTGAGTGGGAGCCCAAGGATCCTACCTCCCCCTGCACAGGGCCAAACCCCCTGCAGGCACTGGAGTTTCCAGGTTGTTTCTGCACTTGGGAGCCCTAACAGCAGCAACCATGAGACAGGAAGGAGGGCAAGAAGCATGTTCCAACATAGGTGGAAGAAATCACACGCCCGGAACGTGGGGCTGGCGCGGGCCGGATGAGGAGGGGGCCCTCTCTGCCCCTCCCTACAGCTGCTCTAATGCACCCAGCCCCTTGCTGCGCCCCCCTCACCTCGTCACGTGGTGCGAAGGCAGCCAGCTGCTTGATTTTGGTGGTCTGGTGGTGGCTACACCTCCGGCACAGCAGCACCTGGCTGCTCACCCACTGTTGGGGCTGTGTGGGGGCACGGGGGCCAGGTGTGCTGCTCACCACGTGGTTCAGGTGCTCCATGTACTGGGCAGGGATCGGCTTGTTGTAGTCGCCATTCTGGGAGTTGGGGGGAAAGGGACCGGAGTTGGTGGGGGAAGTCCCCCACCCCCACCCCAAGCAGGAGAGCCTCCCTGCCAGGTCAGGCCCCCATCTAGCGACACTCCAGGGAAGTGTCTTCAGAGCTAGAAAGATCTGGGTTTGAACCCTGATCTGCTACTTGTAGTGGTGTGACACTGGCCAAACCACCTCAGCTCCCTGGGCCTGTTTCCTCTTCGTCAGAGGAGGGGGTGCCCGCCAGCCCCAGACAGGCCCGCACCTCCTGGAAGCCGTTGTACTGCTCGCAGTGGGGACAATCCCAGCAGTTACGATTCCCATAGGGCACGACTGTGTCCTGGTTGCAGAACCAGCAGTTCACGATGGTGTGTGTCGGCTTCATCCTGCGGATGAGGACAGAGTAGAGTCAAACAGAAGGGCTCTGCCACCTGTACTAGGGGACCAGAGAAAGAGCACAGGAAGTAGGATGGGAGACCCAGAGCTGGCGACACGGCGGGCTGGAGGAAATGATTGGGCCAGGATGAAGGGCTTGGCTGCATGTTGATTGCTTACCAGTCAGACCAGCAAGGAGGCCGAGGCTGGGCTGAGCTGAGCTTCTCCACAGGCCTCCAGGCAAAGCCTGCCCTGCTTGTGCTCCCCCACCTCTACCCCTGGTGTCCTGGGGCTTAGGCAGGGGTGGAGTGGGAGGATGGGGGAATGGGTTATAGGAGCCAGGGCAGGCCAAGCCATAGGGTCGACAGTGCCCAGGTTCTAGGACCACCCACCCAAGGCTCACAGACCTTGGGCTTGTCCTGGGCTATATGAAGAGTGTTCTTTGGGGAGTTTCCAGATGGCAGGAGCCTCCTGTGTTCCATAGATGAAAACCCCAAGAGAGCGAGGCCAAGGAGACTGAGGGGTGGAGACCAGAGACAGCTGCTCAGGCTGGAGCCAATCGTCCCCGCTGGAGGGGACAGGGCAGGCAATCCACAGTGGCCCTTGTTGGCCACATATGTGGTGACAGGTGGGGTCTGTAGGGTAATCCTGGCCCAGACACTGGGGGATCTGTTCTCTGGGCCCCTCCACCCACCTCACTGACTGTGAGGTGGAGTGGGGGGAGTACAGCAACTGCCCAACAAACTCCTCCAGTCCAGGGACCTAGAAACAATGTAGGCAGTGGGTAGCAGCTGCCTGAGCCCTGGGGTCCTGGCCTCACAGCTCCTGTCCTCCCTCAGAGGCAACCTCCAGCTCTGGGGCACTGCCTGGGCCCCTGCTGTAGCACACTCATGTGTGCTGTCCACAGGGCAGCATGACCTCAAGCTTCCTGGCCTGCCCTGGCAGAGTGTGAGCCATCACAGAATCTGCGTTCCGTGTTACTTCGATCCAACAACATGAGACACATAAAGGTGCTCTGCAATGCCAAGGGCCAGCTCCATCACTCTCCTGTCCCTGGGCCTGCCACTGTCCTGATACCGCAGCTACCTCCTGGGCTAGCCCCTCCACTGCCCCCCCATCGACCATGGGTAGGCTTCAATCTTACCCCCTGACAACTGGGGACAAGAGCATGCCAAGGGTGGAAAGTACGTAACAATGCTGGCCTAAATGCCTAATAAATGGTAATGAGCCTGGGAAGGGGTGAGGGGGAGAGGCAGACATGCAAGGAAGGACCCAGGGTACATGAGGGCACCCTGTATCGCCCCTAGCAGCCACAGCAGCATACTCCTTGCCTCTGCTCAGGTCAAAGCCCTCATGATGGATAAGGGACCACCACATCTTGTCAACAGCAAGAGGCCAGAACAAGGCCTAGAAACGGCAGCACAGCCCTGAGGTCATGGTGGCCTCTGGGGAATGTCATCTACTTCCTGGAACCTCCACTGCTTTGGGGGATAATGGGGACAATGATAATCCTTGCCCCAAAAGGAGGCCACTAAGAGGATCAAACCAGGGCATTTAGGAAAGTGCTGAGCCTGGCAGGTGGCTGGCGTGAGGCACTTGGACAGCTTCACTGGGCTCCAAGTAAAGAGTGGTTGAAGGCGGTGCCAGGCAAGGCAAGAGGTGTGGAAACCTGTTCCACCGAGAGGCTGGCACTTGGCTTTCCCTTCGTCAGTCTGCACCTGCTTTGCAGGCATCTCTGTGACAGAGCAGGGGCACATCCCAGTGAGTGACGATGCAGGCTGAGAAATCTCTCTCACCTGACGTGGGGGCCCTTCATCCTCACCATGGGTACCCTCACCCCCGCAAGCCACACCTGGCCTATGGAGAGAAGCCAAGCAGAGGAGCTGGCAGCCTCGGCATAAAGAACGAGCCAGGCAGGAGATAAAGGCGGCGGCCCGGGGACCCACGCGACTGAGCAGAACCTGTGGCTTCAGTCCCGGGGAGTCCCTGAAGCCCCTCCTGCCCCAGAAAGCCATCATTTCCACTCTGAGCCTCCAGCTCTGCTGCTCAGGAAATGAACCTGGCTTGGAAGTGGGTGGCAGGAAGGGGAGGTGGGGGATTAGCTCTGGTCCCTGGGGCCGTCAGGGCAACCAGCACTTTGGCTCCTGTTGCTCTCACCCTGTGGAAATCCCTGCCCAGGGTGGGGGGACCACCCGCCACTGAGGCCTCCCTCATAGCTCCTATGTGGCCTGTCCTGAAAAGGCCCAGGGAGCACTGGAGCTCCCCACTCAGCGCTGCCCCTCCCAGGGCTCTCCCACCTCCACCTCCACCTGTATCAGGCCTGACATAGGAGTGTTAGGGTCTATTCTGAGCCAGCTTAGCGCTGGTCCTGCTCTTGCTCAGGAAAAGCCTCCCTCCCCCCCTGCCAGGTCCTCATACAACCTCCAAACCACTTCTCCCCAAGCCAACAAATGCATCCCAGTGAGGCTCTAGGACAAACTACTCTGAGGACTGGACAAAGTCTGAGGTGATAAGACAGCACGTCCCTGTCCCACAGGCAAGATGGAGATGGGCCCTGGCCAGGTCACCTTAGGGAGGAAGGTTGGGCCCCAAGAGGTGGGCGGACAGGAGGATCTGGAAGGGTTCACCCAGTTTCTGCTACCTGCATGCTTAACTCTTGGGCTCTGCTGGAGCTAGAGGCAGCCTGAGGAGGTCTGAAGCATCTAGGAGCAGGCTAGGCTCCTGGGGAGAAGCAAGGAGTAGCTACATGCTCTGGTCCCACCTGTCCACAAGCCCTAAACATACACACTGGGAAAAGAAAGGTGGACACATGACCTCAACAATGGTATCACCCTATCAGCCCTGATGGACACTTAGTTAAAACAAAGTTTGTGCCTTGACTTTCCTACGATGGGGGTGGGGACATCTAGGAGTGAGCCCACCACTCTAAGGGATGCAACTCTAGGTCCTTGGCACCTGCCCTGAGCCTGGCACTGTGCCACATGGAGGAGACATACGGATGGTGCTTTGTCCCTAAGCGGGCTCAGAGGCTGGGGAAGACTGTTGTGGCAATGTTTCTGCCAGGCCCTCAGAAGGGCCTGGCACACAGCTGAGGACTCCAGGCACCGCATGTTGGCTGCGTGAAATCTGGGAGACTATCTCCGTGAGAATCAGGTTGGTTCCCTCAGGAACCAGGAGGTTAGCCTTAGCAGGGCCCCAGGAGGACAGCCCCCGACAGCCTCACAGGTGAGGGGGGCCTTGCTGGACCCCCACGTGGCTCCTCATTTGCTCCTCTGTGCCCTGTGGACAACATATGTTGTCCTATCCAGCCAGGAGAATTGGAGTAGGTGTCTCCAGGGTCACAGGACCAGCAGCACCAAAAGCAACCTGGTACCTCCAGGCCTCCTGCCCATCCTCAGGGCAGTCCTGCCAACACCAAGATAGAGAGCCCCCAAATCCACCTCTCTGGCCTGGGGATGGCAGACTGCCCTCCTTCACCTCAGTACAACCCATGTGTACTGAGCACATGCTAGGCTCACAGGGAGACAGGAAATGAGCAAGGCTCTCCACTTCTGACCTGGACATGAGGAGAATGACAACTTCACAGGGCAGCTAGTGACAGATGTCACAGGATAGGCCAACAAGCACAGCATTTGCTGTTACCCTACAGAATGGGTTTGCTGGTGTTCATACAGGCGGGACCGCTGGGCTGGGGGTGGGGTGGGTACACCCAGCATGCATCCAGGGCGTGGTGGCCCCTTGGCAAGTGTGCAGGACCAGGGGAGTGTGGCCAGAGGTGGCCAGAAGGATTCTGGACACCAGGATGAGGCTCTGCTACTTAACGCGGGAAGACTGCTCTTCTCTGTCTCCAAACCCCAAGAAGTAGATAATTTAATAAACACTCATGGTGCTACAGGAGGCCCGAGGCCCTCAGCAGGGATGTGCTGGCCGAAGACAGATCCTGGTGCTGAGAAGCAGTCTGGAGCTGGGCGTCTGGGGTGGGGGAGGCACAGGCAGCCATCACGACCACCTGGAGGCAGGGCAAGCTAGCCCAGGGAAGTGTAACTCAGCTCCCACCCCGGGCTGACAGTGGTGGCCTCCTGTGCATGCTCCGCGAGGACCCAGACTGTGCGGCTTGGTTAGGAGCTGAGGAGCTAGGATGGATCTGCTATTTAACAGAGGCAAGAGGAGGGCAAGAGCCCAACCCTCCAGGTCCTGGTCCCCTCACCTGGAGAATGGGTTTCTCAAGGTGGCGGCGTGCAGGTGCTTACGCAGGTCATCAGCACTGAGTTACTAACGATCCGGTCAAAACCGAGGCTCTGGGAGGGCTGCAGCCTTCAGAGAAGTGGCCTCAGGCCAGTCTTTGCTCTATATATGTCTCTGCCAGCTCTGTGCTGAGCCCACAAACATCCTACCTGGCCACGCCGCCTTCCAGAAACAACTCTCCTCACACATCTTCCCAAGGGTCACTCAAGACCCATGGTGGAGCCAAAGCCACTGTTCCTCACTGTCCGGGTGTTCGCCCTGGTGGAAGGAGATGGACTCAGTCTCTGCAGGGCTGGTCTTGCTTCTGAATCATGACAGTGGCCAATTTATGATGGCCAGATAAAAGCGAGTGCTTTTTGAAAATTTCAGAGCCTCCTGGGAAAAGTCTGGTCCTTCTCAGCCCAACCAAGGGGCCCCCATGCCACACCATGACTCTGGTGTCGTGCTGCTGGAGTGAAATGGCCTTCCAGGGACTCTCCTGGCTCCTCTCGGACCAGCCTGCCCAACAATGCACCAAGTCTCCAGATTCCTATCTCTGGGAGAGGCAAAGTGGTGGCCAGTAGTCCAGGAGGGGAAAACAGGACCCCTGAGAGCAGCCACAGCTAAAGACAGAGGAGCCTGAGGCACGGTGAGCAAACCCAGTCCAAATTCAGCCGCACTACACTCAGTGGAAGCCTGGCCCCGGCTCTGATCCTTGGTGTAACTGGGAGGCAGGGGTGTCACAGGAGACAAGCTGGGCCCTGGACTCCCCCACTGCTGTCCACACACTCTGGGAACCAGAGCAAACTGCCATGTGCTCCTGCCCTTCAGTTCCCTCACGTATAAAGTGACCGCTTTGAACCAGCTGGTCCTGGAAGGCCCTCCAGCTTCCAGAAATTGGGCAGGAACTGGGACAGTGGGAGACGTGGGGGTGTCAGGGACCCGGAGCGCTGGGAGCTCCTTCAATCCTCTCTTGGGAGGCCACCCCCTCCTCAAGCCTGCCAGTCTGGCTCACCCTGCAGACACCACCGATGCTCCAGCCCCCACCCTCCTCCAGGAAGCCTGTGACTCAGTGGCCCTCACTTCTTTCTCCCCTGGGTGAGCAGCAATATGTAGTGGCGGTTAAGGAAGAACCACCAGACTGCCCAGGTTCAAACCCCAGCTCTGCCGGTCGCAGCTGAGGGACTGCAGGCAAGTTCCTTCTCTTCTTCCATCTCATGTTGGAGCTTTGCGGGGTCCCTTGCTGAAACTATAAAGCCACCCATTTGGCCCCCAGAATGTTCTCACGACCCTTTTCCCCCTGTCCTCGGAGAGGCTGGATCAGATACAGAAGCAGCTGGGCTGCCCCGGAGGCCCTGCTGAAGCCAGAGGCCACCCTGCTTTCATCCCCCACCATGGAGGCCCCCCAGAGGTGCAGGCTCTGAACAGGGGTCACCGTGACGCTTGAGCCCCGTCAGCGCTGGGGCAGCCACCCACCGAAGCCGCCAAGCAGCAGCGGGAACCCCAGCCCATTGAAGAACATTAGGTTTCCCCGCTCCTGGAGGCGGCTCCTGGAGGCGGCACGGCCGCGGGTAGGAAAGCAGGCTCCGGGGCCGGCCGCTGCAGTGCACACGGTGGCTCTCCTAGTTCATGACAACGTTCTTAGCTCTTTTGTCCCTCGGCTTCCTTCTCTAGGGGGAGCTGGGGTCGTGACTCTGGGCCCCTGGGACGGCGTGTGCAGACCCGGGAGTGCCAGCGAGAACCAGCCCCCCACGGAGCCCGAGGCGCGGAGCGGGGCTGACGGCGGGCAGGAGCGCAGCCCGGGCTCCGCGGCCCTCCCGCAGGGTGCCGGGGCGGCGGGGGGCGGCCCTGCAGTCTCCGTGGGGGAGGAAGTTTGTGACCCACGCGCCGGCCGCGCTCGCCCGCCCCGCATTCCTGCGCCCGCCGCGCCCGCTCCCCGGCCGGGCCCTCGGGGGCCGCGCGTGGGCGCACAGGCTGGGCCCTCGCCGCCACGCCGCGGCCTCGCGGGCAGGGAGGCGCCGTGCGGCCGCGGAGGGAGGCGGGAGGGAGGCCGGCGGGCGGCGGGCCGGGGCGCGTGGGCCGCGCGCACTCACCTCCGCGCGATCCGGTAGAGCAGCACGCCGGCCGCGGCGCACGCCGTGACCCCCAGGCCGCCGGCCAGGCCGGCCGTGGGGCAGCGGGCCAGCAGCGCGCTCACTCCCTCCATGGCTGCGCGCGCGGGCGGCAGGCAGGCGGCGGCGGGCGGCGGCGGGGGGCGGGCGGCGGGCGGCGGGCGGCGGCGGCGGCGGCGGGGCTGGGGGCCCAGGGCCGCAGGCGGGACGCGGGGCGGCGGCGCGCGCCTGCTCGCGCCGTGACCTTCGCCGCTTTGTAGCCGGCGCGGGCCCGCCCCCTGACTCGGCGCGCTCCCGCCGCGCAGCCAATCGGGGCCCGAGGCGAGCCCGGGGGGCGGGGCACCGGCGGAAGCTGCGGCGCCAGGCCGCGCGCGCCCCCGCGCGGCGGGAGGTGGGAGGCGGGAGGCGGCAGGCGGGAGGCGGGAGGCGGCCCCGGCCCGGGCCCCCGCCCTCTTCCGCGCCTCCCGCGAAGTCCGCCACCCTTAGCGCCTCGGGCCACGGACTCTGGGTCGCCTTTTCTCCCGCTGGTCCTGTACCCCGACGCCCGGCCAAGGCCAGCCGGTGCACAAACAGCTGTTTTGCTGCAAGCTACTCTTTGAATCCACTCCATTAAATAAGAAATTAGTTAATGGGCACATGAACGTCTGTCCGTAGAGAAGTTGAACTAATCACAGGACAACCCTACCTGAACTTCGGGACGTAAGGCTGGAGCTATATGGCTATTGACCTGGAGGGAGGACACTTGGAAAAAAAGGAACGTGCACATTGATTTTGGGGAGAACTAAGTTTGAACAAAGACGCTCCTATATGCGTATGCTTGTAGAAGTCGAGGACTCTTCAATGCTGAGCTACGATTACCCCAGGGTGTGGATTTAGAGAAGTTTCACTTTATGCCATTTTCAGTATTATTGGCTTCAGTTAAATTACTTTTCATAACTAAAAACAAAACAAAAAACCCCAGCTGATTGTAAATGTTTGTATTCAGTTACACATCCAGTGTTTCTGAGGTCAACACTGGAGCTCTCCTTGTGGTGGATGGTGTGGGTGTGGGGTTATAGAGCAGCACACCTTACCCCTGTAACATCAGGTAATCTGCTTGGCACCCTAGTCACCTGCATTCCCAGGAGCTGCAGAGAGGGCAAGGAGCCGGGCAGGGTATCCAGGGGCTGATGAGAGAGGCCCCGTTGCAGATCCTCTTTCTTCCATGTGGGTGTCAGAGCCAAGGCCTTGCCTTGGCCATGTTGCTAATATACAGTATGAACAAGCAGCACTGAAACCTCCTTCAAGCTGTGTGGCACTGTACTTAAATACCACTTTCTTTCCAAGGAAGATTCAGAGACTGAATAATGTCCCACTCCCAGGATGGGAATCTGTGATCTACATGGACAGAGAACACACCCAACAATGAAGTCGTTGGTGTTAACTGGTCTTGCCTTCATCAGTGGTAGTGATGTGGGCTGGTGCCCCGAGTGAATGGAATGGTTTGCTGGACCCCCGCGGGGAGCGGCCATCACACAGGCTCAGATGCCCCCTCTACCCAACAAGCACTGCAGACCCACTGCTGGCCATTTTACAACTTACCATCTCTGAGTCCTCAAGCAAGTCATTAAACCTCTGAGCCTCTCTTATTTGTAAAATGTGGATGATGGTAATACCTGCCTCACAAGGCTGTGTCAGAAATAATTTCCATGAGAAAGTACAGAACATCTTACAGTGTTTGGCACCCAGTGGGTAAGCAATGAGAGTTTTACAAGTCATATATATACGTGGCTACTCAGAAATAATGAAATCCCGATGACTGAGCTTGTGCACAAGAGAGAAATTGTGAGATCTCTCCGTGGACAGCTCAAACACTGACAAGTTCCATTTCAAATCCGACAAGCCCCTTTATAGTTTCCTGCTTCTCTTTCTACTCCTGGTGCTTGCCTTTCTCATTTCAATGTCCTGGTGCAGGAGAAGCAAGCAGAGAACTGAATGATCCTTGATCAGTGTCAAATTTATTAATTCAAGGGGGATCCCTGGGTGGCTCAGTGGTTTGGCACCTGCCTTCGGCCCAGGGTGTGATCCTGGAGTCCCAGGATTGATTCCCGCGTCGGGCTCCTTGCATGGAGCCTGCTTGCTTCTCTCTTTGCCCCCACCTCCTGTCTCTCATGAATAAATGAATAAAATCTTTAAAAAAATTTATTAATTCAAGTATGTAGAAATGACAATTATTTTCAAATAATTCTCATACCCAGTTAGTGGATTTTAAGAAACCTAAGTTTTAATCTTCATACTAGATCAAACCTTGAAGACTTCAGGTGTTGTTATGAATACTAAAATACGAAGATGTTAAACATGGCTATCAATTAAACTGAGCTCCTGGAAGAGAAATCTCTTGTCTGCTATGTATTTTATGAGCACTGAGGTTTGACTAAAGTCATTTGTTTGGACTTCTATATGGCTGTTGACAGTTGTAGCAAATTCTACCAGTGAGCTCAAGCATACCAACAAACCTCCTTTGTGCCTAAAGGCGAACAAAATTAAACTCCACTTAAATACAATTTGAAAATATCCTACTCTCGCCCCCACCAGTGCATCTGCAACTGAATCTGAAACTACAATGCATCAGTTATTCAAATCCAGTATCTTTCTAGATATTCAGACTGAAAACTCACCTCACAATGGACAAACAAGCAAATTCCAGTAGAAGAGCTGGGGAAGGTTGTCCATCTGACCTGCCTTCTGCATTACCGTTTCATCCTTTATTGAATTTCCTTTAAAAGTGGGGAGTGGTGAGGTGTGGTTAAAATTCTGGTCATTTGTCATTTCTAGGGTTTTTGTTTTTGTTTTTAAACACATCTCCTAGGGGATCCCTGGGTGGCGCAGCGGTTTGGCGCCTGCCTTTGGCCCAGGGCGCGATCCTGGAGACCCAGGATCGAATCCCACATCGGGCTCCCGGTGCATGGAGCCTGCTTCTCCCTCTGCCTATGTCTCTGAGCCTCTCTCTCTCTCTCTCTGTGACTATCATAAATAAAAAAAATAATAAAGTATACTAAAAAAAAAAAAAAAAAATAAACACATCTCCTAGAAAAATAAAAGTGAACCGAGAGGTGGGCAATCAATCTTGTGTCACTGTCCTCTCCTCCAGTGCTAGGGATCCAAGAACAGGGTTAAAGACCTGACAGGAAGGGCCTATTAGTCACCATATTCCACATTCACGACTGACACGTACAAGGTGCTTGGGGGTTGACCTGGCTTAACTTCTGGAAATAGGTCCAGGAGTAAGTCTTGGTAAATAACTCATTAAAACTCATGCCTCTGGTTCCAACTGGGGATAAAGGATAACTTTAGAAAAACATTTACAGTCTAAAAAAATTTTTTTAAATATTTAGCGTCAGAAAGTTATACTTATTTTTTTTCTAACTCAGCACCCTGAAACCTTAAATTCTCAATCTGCACAAGACTTGGAAATGTACAGACCAGAAAAATGGCTGGGAAGCCTGTCCCGTCCACCCAGTGCCACCAGAATGCAACACATCTTACTTGTTCAGCAGTGTAGTGTCAGATGACAAAACAAGTTGTATTTTTATTTTGCAGGTTTTCTCTGAATTTCTAGGGTCATGTTTCACTAAATTACTTAAGCTGTAAGTTTATAGCACAGTGAACATAAAAGAGGACACAAACCAAATTTATACTTAAATTAAGTAGTGTGATTTAATTTAGTTGCTGCTTAATCCTGAATCCTCTTAAGTTAAAAAACAAAAGTTATAATTAACTATTAACGTTAATGAATTTAAACCTTCCAGAAAACATGAATCCAAAAGGAAATGTCCAACGGGATATGAGCCACATATTTTATGGTCTTTCCTGTTTCAGTCTCAAACGTTCTAAACATCAATGGAAAAAAAAAATTTCTCTATAGTTTTTTAATTTTATTCTTCTAGAGCACAATTTTCTGGCCTGTTACTGGGAACGGTCTTCTAATAGGTACACAATTAACTCATAGGTAGACAACACAATGGCAGTATTTGGTATCTGCCGGATGAGCTGGGCAAAGAGTCCTCTATAAAAGGCAAGGTAACCTTCTTCCCGGAAGACCAGCCGAGCAGTCTGGACAAAAGACTTGTACTTGGTGCCTTCCTCTCGGAGCCGTGTCCTTATGACTTCTGCAGAGAGAAGCACATACTTTATGCTACAATGAACCACATCGCCAAGCAATACAATGAGAGAATTCAAAGCACAGAGTTCTGTAACTGTCAATGTACATCTCTGGCTATTTGCCATTTCAGCTCTACTTGGACAGCATAGTCACTTTGGGACAATGAAAAGTTGCGATCTTTTTAGAATATTTTCTAATTCTGGGAAATGGTCAATTAAGGATGTTACATATAGATACAAAATAACTTTTAAGGGATTGTAAAAGCTTACATTGAATTGGACTCCATTTTAAGATAGTTTGTGGTTTTCTACTCCCAATTAAGCAAGCGCTATAATTTCACTGAAGGTGTAATTTGTATTAAGCAGAGCAAATCATCAAGACTTTCTTTTCATATGCTTGCCAACTTCCTCTCCTACTAATAACCCTTCTCCACCACTCTGTCCAGCTCAAAAGCTGCCTCCTGCATTTTTTTAAAAGATTTTTATTTATTTATTCATAGAGATGCGGGGGGGGGGGGCAGAGACACAGGCAGAGGGAGAAGCAGGCTCCATGCAGAGAGCCCGACGCGGGACTTGATCCAGGGTCTCCAGGATCACGCCCTGAGCTGCAGGCGACGCTAAACTGCTGTGCCACCAGGGCTGCCCCTCCTGCATTTTTTTTTAAAGATTTTATTTTATTTATTCATGACAGACACAGAGAGAGAGGCAGAGACACAGGCAGAGGGAGAAGCAGGCTCCATGCAGGGAGCCTGATATGGGACTCGATCCCAGGATTCCAGGATCACGCCCTGGGCTGAAGGCGGGTGCTAAACCGCTGAGTCACCCAGGGATCCCCTGTCTCCTGCATTTTTAAACTTTTGTACACCTGGCCCCTGTCGACACAGGCACAACCCCCCCCCCCTGCCGCCGCAAGCACTACAGCTGTCACTGCTGGACATCCTTCTGTCTCCCCCCCCTACAGGAGGCAGCCCGATCTCTTCTCCCTGAGCCCTAGGGGGCCGCTGAGTGTTCTACCATGTGACAGGGGCTCAATTACCTGCTTTTGAATTGACCATGTGTGTTCGTCATAGCTGACAGTGCAGCAGGCTTTTGAAAACAAAACCTGTTTTTCATGGTACAATAAACTAAGCTATTCTTTTTTTAAGTAGGTCAGTGGAACATTAGGTCTCTAATTCCTTAAAAAATAGACTTAGCAAAGTAGACTCACTCAGCACTCCATTCAAAGTGGAAGTTGAGAGTTGTTTTGTTTTGTTTTTTGGTTGGCACCCACACCATTTTTTTAAATCGAGAAATTTTAAATAAAATCCAGATTTTTGGCTTATCTGAAAACATCAGAAGTTCTATACCACAGGGCCCACATTTTGCACAGTATGTTTTGGCCACGAGTAGCTGGAGCTGAGAAGAGCTGAATTCCTGCTGCTCACATAACCTACACCAGACAGATGAAGCCAGTTTCACTCATATTCTATTACCTTAGTACCTGCAGGTACTTGCATTTCCATGTGAGCTGCAGAAGTCTAGCTTTATGGACAATGACACAAGCCTCACAGCTGTTTTACTGTTCTGGAAGAAAAAGCAAAACATACCATGTGGATAAGCGATGCAGGAAGCACATCCCTTAGAAATTGCAGCAGCTGCCATAAGTCCAAAAAAATTTGTGGAATTTTTCTCAGTCCCATTTGTAGAAGAGGCTAATGGAGCTTCTTTCAGATACTTCTTCAAACTTTCATAAATAGCAAAACAGATGATAGTTTCCGAAATTCCAGCATACGAGGCTGTTAATCCCCTGTAGAAGCCACGAATGCCTTCTGTCTGGTAAACATAGCGAGCACACTGGAGTGTGTTCATCTGCTTGGAGCCTCTTACTCTGTGTAAAGATCAATGAAAAGCCGTTAAAATGCACACTCTGGAGCCTGGCTCCTGTACCAGGCTGCAAAGAAAGGAGTGTTGAGTATAAAGAGAAATTACACATGGGTGAAATGTGGCTTCCCTGTCCTGTGTTCAGCTGAGCCTGGGCCCACCAGCTGGGACACCTGATAAGTCCACAGAACAGTATGTACATCTGTACCAAGAGCCATAAAAACATGTCCATAGCCTCTGACCTAATTTTGGAAAGAGCCGGATGGAGGAAGACGTTCATCACAGAGGAAAATACAACTGCAGTATAATAAAAACAACCCAGATGTCTAAAAATAGGGATAGATAAGCAAACTAGGATACACATACTAGATTAAAATAGTTGTGAAGGCAGTAAGCAATGCAGAAGTGCTTGCGTGGAAAGCAGGAGTATAATTACAATCATGGCAAAAATATGCTTTAAGAAAATGCCGAAGGAAAAACCTCACCAACATTCTGCCTGGGTAGTTGAGTAAGGTTTGTTACACTAGTAAGCTTTCTTAACTCTAGTCTCCAGATGGTGTATTAAAAAATATATATATTTATTTATTTGATAGAGAAAGAGAGAGAGAACACAAGTAGGTGGAGCAGCAGGCAGAGGAAGAGGGAGAAGCAGGCTCCCCGATGAGCAGTCTGATGTGAGGCTCTATCCCAAGACCCTGGAACCACAAACCTGAGCTGCAGGCAGAGGCTTAACCCACTGAGCCACCCAAGTGCCCCCAAATGGTGTATTCTGATTCCATTATTTCTAAATTTATGAAATAAACATAGAATAAACTACACAATTTGGCCTTGGGTTAGCTGCTCCTGGCTCATGATAGGTAGTATCCTAAACTGCCTAATACAAACAGAACCTTCTGACAGCATATCCACATTCCAAGAGCCCTTCCTTGGGGTTGAGGCCCAGCGAGCCCCCTGCTCCAACCAGTCACAACAGGCTCTCCCTTCTTCACTGTGTCTTTCCAAGGCTGTTTCTCCACTTCCTGGCTGGAGCAACCTTTCTAATACAGATCCAACCACACTGCTGTGCTACAGAGTGGTCCCCACTCACACCCCGAACCACAGCTCTAATGGCTGTCTACGACCCTCAAATTAGAGCCCAAAGCTGAACTCCAAGACCCTCCCGGGGCTTTAAAGGAGGTGCCCCCCACCCATGCATTTCTGTAGCCTTGCTTTTTTTATATATCCCCTCCTCCAGCACATATACACAGAGCACACTCCAACCATGCTTCCCTTCCTTTCGTCCCCGGGGAATGCATGCTTCCTGCATATTCCATTCTTGGCCAGAAGCATGTGCAGTGCCATGGACCCCCTCCCTCATTTTTTTCTAGATGGTAGGGTTGACATCACCACTAACAGAAGCCCTCCCTGTGCTTGCCCTGCCTGGACAGCATTAGGGAGGGACCCTCTGGGGTCCTTAGCATTTCTGGCCCCTATCTCATCAGCCTCTAATTCTATTACCTGTAAAGTCGTGAGCTTCTGGAAGGCAGTGCCTTAGTCCTTGCTGTTTCCCCAGTGACTACTGCAGAGCCAGCATGCAACAAATATTCATTGCTGCAGGACTGGTTAAACAAAGCTTCAAAATATCCTGAGCATGGAGGTGCTGGGTGGCTCAGTTGGTTAAGTGGCCAACTCTACATTTCAGCCTAGGTCATGATCTCAGGTCCACACTCAGTGGAGAGGGGAGTCTACCTGAAGATTCTCTCTCTTCCTCTCCCCTACCCCTCCCTCCACTGACACACTTCCTCTAAAATAAATAAATAGACCTTAAGTAAAATAAATAAAATGTCCTAAGCACAAATCATTAGGACATAAGTATAAAATTTTAATTAATTAATTAATTAATTAATTTATGAGAGAGAGAGAGAGAGAGAGAGAGAGAGAGAGAGAGAGACACACACACACAGGCAGAGGGAGAAGCAGGCTCCATGCACCGGGAGCCCGATGTGGGATTCGATCCCGGGTCTCCAGGATCGCGCCCTGGGCCAAAGGCAAGCGCTAAACCGCTGCGCCACCCAGGGATCCCAGGACATAGATATAAAAGCATGCATATAGGGATCCCTGGGTGGCGCAGCGGTTTGGCGCCTGCCTTTGGCCCAGGGCGCGATCCTGGAGACCCGGGATCGAATCCCACATCGGGCTCCCGGTGCATGGAGCCTGCTTCTCCCTCTGCCTGTGTGTCTCTCTGCCTCTCTCTCTCTCTCTCTCTCTCTCTCTCTCTGTGACTATCATAAATAAATAAAAATTAAAAAAAATTTTAAAAAAAATAAAAGCATGCATATAGAGGTTCTTAGCTGATTTGTCCATGTACCTGCTGTTAAGCAGCAATGATACTAGGACAGTGTGGGGCACAGCTGGCATAGCAAATGATTACCAGGGGTTTCCAGGAGAGGGTAGTATCCTGGCTCAGAATCCTGAGGAACAAACAGGCACTCTTGGGCGACAAGAGGGGTGTGGGACTCCTAATCCCTCCTGGTGAGGGTCAGCACACTCAGGGAGACGGAAGCCTAAGAACACCTGACAGTTATAGAAAAATTGCAAAGGACCTTGAATGTTAAGCCCACAAGTTAGGATCTGACCATGAGAGTAAGCAAGATTTATTGAAGGATTATGAGCAAGCGATCTATCCAAAATGAAGAGATCTGATGTATTCTAGAGGGTTCTTTCATGCAGAATGGATTGAAGAAAACATAGGCAGACCCCAAGCTACACTTCCAGAGGGTAGTCTTGTTCCGTCTCTCCTTTCTTTATAGGTTGCTTAGAGTTAGGCTGGAAGCTGAAAGCTTCCAGGGCCCACACATATTTCAGGCAAGAGTTACACAAGGGTTCTTAGAGTTGATGACAGTGTCCCTTATCACCATCACTTCTTTGAAATTAAGGTAGTTAGTTACTGGGCGGGCCACTGCTTGATCTTGCTATTTACTATATTAAAGAAGTCTCTTACTATATTGTATTAAAAAAATGATAATTGTACTTCAACAATTGGTTACCACTGCTTTCAAAAATATTACTCTAAAAAGCAACTGCAGAGGCGCCCCCAGACTGCCAAAGGGATCCATAACATGAAAATATTACAAATCATGGGCCAGAGTTTTAGGGCAGAAATCTAGTACACCTGAAGGCCTTTGCCATTCTACCCTTACTAGCATCTTCCCACTTAGAAGAGAAGCCATCTGGAGGAGCCCAAAGTGCTCTAATTGAGGGTGGGGGTAGGTCGGCCAAGAGCAGAGACCTGCCAACTACCTGAGAGAAGTCAGCAGCAGGTTAGGGGTGGCAAGTGAGCAAATTTCCAACCCATCCCCGCCCTGCGGTGCTACTTCTGCTGGCCCTCATTTCCCCACAATGCCTCGCAGCACACATCTCAAAACAAAAGGACTTTCTACATATAGCTTATATTCAGAAAACAACAAGGATTGGGATGGCTAAGGGCTCTGTATACCTTACTTCACAACTGGAATTGAGAGGAAGGAGAAAATCCTCACGAATATTAAGGAGGAACAATTAATGACTTACTTCCGTTCTAGCTGCATCCGAGTTTTAACCATCCATATAGGATTCATTAAGGTATTTGTGACAAAAGCTGGAAGAAAAACAAACAGCAAATGTCACCATTGAACACAATCCATGATTAAAGCTATTTCATATGATAAACTTTGAGATCAGGATTTAAATGGCTTAAAAGTAAAACTGGACAGTAGGAAGAAGTTACATTTCCAGACTGCAGATGGAAGTTACACTCTTTTAAAATGTAACATCCATTGAGATGTTGGACCTAAAAGAAACCTCTCAATTTTCTAGAGCCCTGTCTAGTCTTTCCAACCTGTAGGTGGTGCTGTTGGTATTTCTGGAAATGTCATTTCTATGATAAATAAGGAAACTATTCTAAAACTAAATTTATAAGCGTCAGGTCTAGAAATAATTTGTTTTAAAAAGTTAGTGATCTAATCCAAAAGGTTACCTTATATCAAATCTAAAACAGAAGCCACTAAATCTCCATTTACCTGAATTTGAACATACACATTTTAGTATCTCATTAATCATTTCAGGAAATTGAAGTTTTAAAGGCTGATTTGCTTACAGGAACCATTTCTAAAGCCTTTCCCATCTTTATATTGCTCATTGTTCCAGATCAACCAGAAAGAGCAGCATCATGGCATCAGCCTGACAGTGAGCTCTGAACACCTCGATCCCTCCACAATCCTAGGCAGATTAATTAGGAACCAAGACGGTGGTTTAGAGAACTCCCTCCAGGTCTGCTTTATTTGCCAATGGTTCTTTTAAGTTAATTTTGTAAAAGTCACAAAACCAACGAGCAGCTCAGAGCTTATGGCTCACTCGCGACCACCCTTGGGAGAGCTGACCCGTTCATTCGGTCACTCCACATTTCCTCCTTGGGAGTTCCGTGTTCGATAGAAATGCCTTTCTTGCATGAAGCAGCTTTGCATATGCTATCTTCTATTTGAGGGCCAGAAATTATGACTTGGAACTGCTCAGATGAGTTAGTAGAACTCTTCTGAGTGACAGAGGCAGATAAAACTGGTGCATACACACCTTACAGGCTGGCAGGAGGCAGAAATGCTTCATTGCATACCAATTTAAGTTCTTTAGGAGGCGCTTCCATTTACATAAGACATAAAATGGTACCCAAAAAGAGACAGCCTTCTCTCTTCAATCTACAAGTCCATGGTTCTTTGTCAACTATTTCCAGGGGAACAAATCCTGTTATGAATTTTTTGTTGTTGTTGTTGTTGTTATGAATTTTCTATAGTAAAGAGAAAGGATTCCCTCAAAAGGGAGCAGATACTCCTTGATCTGGTACTAGTCCTTCTAAAAGGTCTCCACAGCCCCATGCCCTCATCACAGAACCTAGCTGTGGACAGAAATGCCAACTGTGCATGGGATATGCTGGACACAATGGGGAGTCACAGAAAAAAACCTCAAATTTTTAAAATAACTTTAATGCAACAGAAGGATATGGAAACCCATTAATATTCCTTTAAAAAAGATGTAATACTAATCAGGAGTATGCACGAGCACAGATGAAATTTTGAGGAAGAATAAAATTTTAGTTGATAAAGAAAACAGAACCGAGTTACAATCTATTCTTGAACATTTGTGTTTTATTAGTTCCAACATAAAGCATTAGAAAAATGACTTTAGAGGCAAAAGATGCAGAGAGCTAATTTCTGGTTCCTGGAAAAAGCTGTTTGGCACAACACATGCTTTAGAAAACTGAGAAACTTATCTCCACTCACTTAGGGTAACATACCTGCAGAGCCAGCTGAGAAAATATGCACAATATTACTGTTAGGCACAAAAATGCCATTGAACTGCTCTTTGGCTTTGGAGTAACACGCAAAGTACACAGCCCTGTTTGAAGAAAGAGAGAACGCTACAGACATTGGCATGGCATTATATACATCCCTCCGCAACCTCTAAAAATGTAGGAAAGTATAAGAAGGTTAACAGGTAACCAAAAGCTTGACCTTATAAACCACAAGCTGCTGCTTATCACTCCAGAGAGTATTTCAGCGATGGTAGAAGTATCTAAAATAACTGGGGAAGAGGAGATTTTGGTAATATACAAAATCCATTTATATTCTTCATTCTGGATAAATGTCAATTCCTTAAGCAACCAAAATCTATACAACTTTTAAAATTCGTAATACTTCTAAAATATACCACACTCATCCTGCCTCACATAACAATGAGTATGTCAAATTATATTTGACTTTTTTTGATGACTCAGGGTCACATAGGGAACAGCCATCACATGTAAGTTTTCATACAGAGCTTCCGCTACTGAATATGCCCCCCGCCTCCCCCCAACCCCGTAACTCCTAGAGGTGGAGTTTGGCCTCCCTGCTGCCTCTCTGGTCAGGACTTCTCTGTCTGCTTTCTCTCCTCTGACTTCTTTCTTACTGGGCCTGGGGAATAGTGGCTGGTTGGTATTTTCCTCTGCTCTTTCACCAGCAATGCCAGGGAAAATGTCTCTTCATTTTCGCTGGCCAATGCATCAATCATAGAATGTATTCTTCAACTTAGGCCCTGGACTACTTATCATTATTGTGTTATGTAACAGTATTGTTTTTTTTTTCCTAGGTCCCAACTGTTCTAAATGGGTGTGGCAGCCAGGAAGCTACATCAGATTAACAGCTGTTACCAAATTAGCACTGTCCACAAGGAGATACAGCTTATTTTCTTTATTGAGTTGTGGACATATGCAGTGTGGACATATCCACCATCTATTAATAATGCATATGCAATATAATCTCACAGACTAGTGTTTTTATTTTTAAATAGGTTATACACATATGCTACAAAATTCTAAAGGAACAAAAGGATTTAATAACAATCTGAATTTTTACAACATCCTCAGGTGATTTGTATTATAAATTGGAGCAAAGATCTGCAAGAATCCTAGGAAGCTTTTAGTCTTCACCTTATATAGAACATTTTTATTTTTGTTATAAAGATTAATTCTCGGGAAGCCTGGGTGGCTCAGTGGTTTAGCACCGCCTTCAGCTCAGGGCCTGATCCTGGAGACCTGGGACTGAGTCCCTCATAGGGCTCCCTGCATGGAGCCTGCTTCTTCCTCTGCCTATGTCTCTGCCTCTTTCTCTCTGTGTCTCTCATGAATAAATAAAATCTTAAAAAAAAAAAAAAAAGGTTAATTCTCTTTAAAGTCTGAGTATTACATCAAGTAATATAAGTATCTTACCCCTGTCACCCAGCTCCCCTCCCAAGAGGCAATTTTTACAAGTAGTTTCTTATCTACTTTTCAGAGAGATGTTACACACACACTTCACCTGTTCACTTTTATCAAACACAGGCTTTAAAGAGATTTAAGCCTCATAACAGAATAAGGATGTTTTAAATAAAGTAAAGCCTGGAAGCCTTTAAATTTCTTCAGATCTCAGCTTCTAAGTGCATACGAATTACCTGGGAATCTTGCTAGAATGCGGATTCTGGGGTACAGTCCGAGAGTGTGTAGTTCTAACAAGCCCTGGGTGACATCAATACTGCTGGCCACATACCATACTTGAAGTAGCAGATACTTTTTTTTTTTTTTTAAGATTTTATTTATTTATTCATGAGAGACACAGAGAGAAAGAGAGAGGCAGAGACACAGGCAGAGGGAGAAGCAGGCTCCATGCAGGGAGCCTGACGTGGGGACTCGATCCCGGGTCTCCAGGATCAGGCCCTGGACCGAAGGTGGCACTAAACCACTGAGCCACCCAGGCTGCCCTAGCAGATACTTCTTTAGAGAAGATTATAGGTGATGAGAGCAGATGAATTTTCACTTACGAATAAAATAACTAGAAAGACATACTAGCAGTTGTCACTATTCTGTATGTCAGATGTATTCCATACAGAAAAAAGAAACTGGCCATCTAGTAGTACTGCTTTTCAGTAAGAGAGGAGTATTATATACTATACATAGTGAGCCAACTGAAAGTTTAATGCTTACCTTGATGGCGCAACTCCAACCAAATTTGGACCCAAGCCTCTAAAAAGTGACTTTGGTCCCTCCTTCTCCAAGATTGACCTGAATAATAAGAGAAGATCTTTAAAATCCTTTAGGCAGGGCCTATGCAAAACAATGAGGCCTCAGCTTTCACATTAGCTCCGTGAATACAGAACAGAATGTTTACAAGAGCCCAGACTCTTACCTGATTGTCCTGCAATACAGCATTAGAAGACTGAAAAATACTCCTTTTATGATACAGAGAAAAAGCATGCTTCAGAAGCATCAATTTGACATGTTTTCAAGAAGCCTTTTCCCTAGTTCACATGGGACCAAGATGTTCAGGGTTTGTACTACATGCTGAACTCCTCATATGGTAGGATGAGCGCCTGGCAAAACATCTGATACAGGGAATCATATCGTCATAATAACAAAATTCACTGAGAAACAGGTTCTGAGATTTCTTTGGATTGTATTCCTTTTGGATTTATTCCTTATCTCTAATAATCCAATCTTCCAGATCTTTACTTATTGTAAAAGGCCCCAATCAGGGATCTACAGAATAGAAAATCCTAATGATTTTCATGGGCTGGATGAATCTTATTTAAAGACAAAGCATAGTATCTCAAGCTTAAAGAGAATACTGCTTTTTTTTTCTTTTTTTAAATCATAGTAACATATATATAAGATGAAATTTACCATTTTCAAGTGTACAGTTCAGTGGTAGTATTTCCACATGTTAAGCAACCATCACCATCCATCTCCAAAACTTTTTCATCTCCTTAAATTGGACTCCATACCTATTAAATACTAACTCCCCATTACCCTCCCCCACCAGACCTTGGCAACCACCATTGTGCTGTCTCTATGAACTGGACTACTTTAGGGATCTCAAACGAGTGGAATTGTTCAGTATCTGTCCTTTGGTGGCTGGCTTATTTCACCCAGCACAGTGTCATTAGTGTTCATCTATGTTGCAGAATGTCCCAGAATTTCCCTTTTTAAGGCTGAATAATACTTTATTGTATATGGGCCACATGTTGTTTATCCATTTATCTGTCAATGGACACTCAAGTTGCTTTCACTTTTAGCTACTGTGAATAATGCTGCTGTGAACATTAAGTGTCCAGATATCTGTTCAGGTCTCTAGTTCATTTTTTGGTAATTTTTAAAAAAATTTTTTATGTATGTATGTATTTTTGAGAGAGAGAGAGAAAGCGAGAGAGAGAGAGGCAGAGACCTAGGCAGAGGGACAAGCAGGCTCCTTGCAAGGAGCCTGATGTGGTACTTGATCCCGGGATCATGCCCTGAGCCAAAAGCAGCTCAACCTCTAAGCCACCCAGGCATCCCGCAAGTCCCTAGTTTAAACTCTTAGGGGTACGTACCCAGAAGTGGAACTGCTGGATCATATGGTAATTTCTGTTTAATTTTTCGAGAATCTGCCATGCTATCTACTATAGCAGCTGTTTATCATTTTACATTCCTACCAACAAGGCACAAGCATTCTAATTTTTCTACACTCCTGCCAAGGTGCTTTAAAAAAAGTGTTATTTTCTGATTGAAAATGACTAAGGAAAGGATTGTATAGAACATTCTTTAGAGGCATTTTCCTGCTCCAACATGATTCTTCAAGTTGGTTAAATTTATTCTTTTCAGTGGCTCAACCCGACTCAATTTTCATGGTATCCAAGAGAATTTACACTGTTACACGGAGGTCCCCTCTAATCTTTTCTTACTGCAGATTTTTCTGCACTCAGTAATTAGTACCTCCAATTTCTAAGTTTATCTAGCTCACTAATGATCATATTGTTGTCAAAAGAGTTTATATAATGCTTTACCTTTATTATGACTCCGCAGGTAAAATAAAACAGTTGTGTTCCACTTTATGGAAAAGCTATTGGTAAAGATTCTGAATTCTGCCAATTTTATTTCTACCACCTTCCACTTTTCCCATAAAATTTCTGGAAACAAAGCCGAAATTTTTGGTGAAGAGGTTCAGTTGATCTGGTCCCTGGTATGCTAGGCAATGTTCAAGTTTTATCCAGAAAGAGGAAGGAAGCTTTCCTTCCTCTTCTTTCCTTTTTCAGGTCAATGTAATATTTCACGGTCTAGAGTCCCTGAATGTACAAACTAAAACATTTGAACCTTGGCTTCTTTCTTCAAATTTTTGGATGTTTATAAAACATTTCAATTGCTTGAAAATGAAAATATATTTGCACCTGTAAGAGCTGTCTTCAAAAGTAGCAGACTAGCAATTAAATAAGAAGAAATAAAAGGTATCTAGATTGGAAAGGAAAAAAACAGAACTTTTTTTTTTAAGTGGGGCTCAACATGGGGCTTTTGAATTCACAACCCTGAGATCAAAACCTGAGCCGAGATCGAGAGTCGGAGGCTTCACTGACTGAGCCACCCAGGCATGCCCCAGCAAAACTCTATTCACATAGACTACACAATCATTAACATAGAAATACTAATTAATACACTAAACGATTACTATAACTAATAAGTTCAGCAAGGTTGTAGGATATAATAAGATCAATATACAAAAATCAATTGTATTTCTACACAGTAGCAATGAACAATCTGAATACAGAGATAAAAACTGATTCCATTTACAAGAGCCTCCAAGAGAAGAACACTCCTAACCACAGAGATGGAGTAGATCCGTGATTGCCAGGGTGGAGTAGGGGGAGTTGGGAAAGACTGCTAGTGGGTACATGCTTCCTTTGGGGTGATGAAAATGTTCTAGAATTAGATAGTGGTGGTGGTTACATAACTGTGTAACCACTGAATTATACACTTTTAAAAAGAAAAATTTTAGGATATGTGAATAATAATAAAGTGGATCTCAGTTCCATCTAAATAATTAATTTATTCCAAAATATTAGGAAGACAACAGTCTTCTTTTCTTTTTAAACAATAGTCTTATTTTCTTATCATAGAATGTTTTTCTCACTGGCAGTTATCAGCCTGGGCCCTTTTATGGGATCCCATGACACACTCTTGTTTGTGTAGCCCAGCCTAAACCCTCTGGTCACCCCTGAGTATTACATGAAGGACCTCTGTATGAGATGCTACACAATTAGAGAGTGCATCTCACTCTAAATAGAGTGTACCTTTCTTTTTTTTTTCATGGCACCTAGAGAATGTAAAAGCACAGCGTTTAAAACGAAACCTAGCTATACAATATAACATCACTTGGCAATAAAAAGGAAGTACTGATACACACAACAAGGATGACCTTCAAGAAACATTTGGTTAAAAGTGAAAGCAGCCAAACACAGAAGGGCCTATGTTGTATTATTTTATTTATATGAAATGTGCAGAGGAGACAAATACAGAGACAGAAAGAAATTAGTGGTTGATTGCCTAGGCTGGGGCTGGGTGATGGGGAGTGACTGCAAATGAGAGATTTATTTTAGTAGGGATGAAAATGTTCTAAAGTCAAATTAGTAGTATTGGTCACACAAAACTCTGTGTACATATTAAGAACAGCTGAATGGTATTCTTTAAATGGGTAAATTGTTTGGTATGTGAATTATATCTTAATGTTAAACAAATCAAGAAACAACACAGCAAGGAAGAAAGAAAGGCTCCTTGAAAAAGGTCTAATACCAGAGTGGGGGCATTTGGGTGGCTCAGCTGGGTGAGCCTCTGCCTTCCCAGATTGTGATCCCAGGGTCCTGAGCTCCGAGGCGTTTCCCGCTCAGGGGAAGTCTGCTTCTCCCTCTGCCCCTTCCCCTGCTTGTGCTCTCTCACTCAAATAAATAAAATCTTAAAAAAAAAAAAAAGACAAAGGTCTAAGAAACAGAGGAAATATTGGCAGAACAGTTTTAAAATTCAGTTCTTCCATTAAATCAATCACAACATATAACTGATTGATCTGGAATATGGACTGTAGATTAGTTAAGAAGTAATATATGAGGGGATCCCTGGGTGGCGCAGCGGTTTGGCGCCTGCCTTTGGCCCAGGGCGCGATCCTGGAGACCCGGGATCGAATCCCACATCGGGCTCCCGGTGCATGGAGCCTGCTTCTCCCTCTGCCTGTGTCTCTGCCTCCCTCTCTCTCTCTGTGACTATCCTAAGTAAATAAAAAATAAAAAAAAAAAGAAGTAATATATGAATATTGAATTTCCTGAATGTGAAAAAACCGTACCATGGCTCTAAGAGAATTACCTTGCTCTTAGGAAATAAATGTTGAAGTACCAAGGGTAAAGGGGCATAATGATGCATGTAAGCTATTTTCCAATGGTTCAGAAAAAATATGTATGCAGAGAAGAAATGAGAAAAACAAATGTGGCAAATATTACAAATTGGTGACTTGAAGTAAAGAATATAACCAAGTTGTCTATACCATTTCTGTAACTATTCTGTAAGTCTGAAGTTATGAGAGACGGGGGGGGGGGGCAGAGACACAGGCAGAGGGAGAAGCAGGCTCCATGCAGGGAGCCCAACATGGGACTCAATACCAGGTCTCCAGGATCACACCCTGGGCTGAAGGCAGCACTAAACCGCTGAGCCACCTGGGCTGCCCAAAGTAAAAAGTTCTTTAAAAAAAAAAAAAAAAGGTGTGGGTCATAGGTTATAAAAATATTAAGCTCATGACAACAGCCCACAAAGTCACAGAAGCAAGGGGTGGGGTAAAGACCATTCTTGGGTTTCTGCAAACCTAACACGCGAGCTGAAGTTCATGCACTTTGAGTGAACTTTCACACTGGCTAAAACAAGCCACTTGGCTCTTACTGGAGGCAGGAGAATTTAGAGTTTTCAACTGTAAATACTTTTATTTTACTCCTTCTCAAAACAAGACTATGCTTTCAAAAAGCCAAGGTCTCTGAACAAAAGTGTCCAGTGACACCTTGAAATAACCTACAACTTGCAGGAGGGTATAAGAGACTTCAAATGGTCAGTATACTCAAACATTTTTAAAGCTTGGATTCTGTCTGTGGTCCCATTAAGGGACAGGGCACAGAGCCAGGCCCAGGAGGCAGTTAAACACAATTAAGGAACTCTGGCTCCAGGAGGCCCAAAAGCCTCTCATCTATAATGCAGTAGGGAACTCGTGTCCTCAAGCGACCCAG